TAATCTTATGTTTTTATCCTGAAACTGAGAGAAAGTGTACTCTAAAATGATTGTAAAATCCATATTTAGGTGCCGGAAAACTATTAATTTACCGAAAAATTGTTATTGAGAGAAAACAACTTTGCAAAGAATGAGCTCACGCCATAGCCCGCACAGCTCGCGGAGATGACAACAACAACAACAACACTCACCTCTTTTCCTTACTATCGGTTAACAAATTCAAACGTTTCCTCTTAAATTTCTTTACAAAACACATGGTAAACGCTTCATTGTCTATTGCTGAGTTATGGATGCACTCAGGAGACTCAGGATTGCTAAGCTCACAACAACTCGAGGAATTACGAACAGTTTATTGACGTCATCAGCGTGCTCAATAGGAATATGAAGCACGCTCGCGGTATTGAATTTGATTAGGCGAATTTTCTAGCTATGTTATAATTCATTTTCACTCATAACAAAACACTACATTAACAGGCAAAATACTTTGTATTAATGTGGCTCAGTGGGTGTTAATGGTAGTGATTTTGAAACTCCTTTGAATGTTAGTAGTGGGAAGAGTTCATTATATCTTCATTTATCATACTTGTTCATTTGTAATTTAAAAAATCCTTCTTAATTTCCCAACTTGTAATGAGGTGTTCGTTTTTTCTACTTACGGGGACTTCGGGTGTAGCGCTTGCGAAGAAAGAGAGCCTGATTTCATTTTGGGAAGTAGACTACATACATGCACTGTTTACAGGTAGCCATTATGACTCCTGAAGGAGGATCTTGAGGTTATGCCTGAACTAAGATCTCTCCTTACGGATAACCCACCCGACCCAGGAAAGGTTGGCCACACCACCAGGGTCTACGTCCCCTACTCGTTTCGAACAGTGGTGTAGGTTCTTTTTCGTCTCACAAGAACCAGATAAACGAAAGTGCTGTGCGAGACGGGACCTACGGTTTTTCGTCGTTATCTGAGAAGACAAGACAGTCTAACTGTTTTCAGATGTCATTACAAAGGCAGCACTTTCTCCTCAGTTATTTAAAGACCCTGAGTGTTGGTCTGGCCAGGGTCTGAACCCGCGACCTCCTGCTCAGCGGACGGGTACTGAACTGAGCTAACCAGGCAGCGGTTAAATTCTTACGGGGGAAATATTCTTTTTAATTTATAGGACCTCTGCAGCCGTCACGGTTCCAGGCGGTCGCACATCAGCTCTGAAGATCGCTACACTTGGTCATCATACCCGACAGACCTGTCGACGCTTCCTTCATACGCACCTCCAGTATATCACTCAGTAGAAAACATCCAAGATTACGGGTTATCATCTTGCATTGTCCCACCACCAGTGTTCGATCCCACGGATTTGCCGCCCCCGTACTGCTCGCAGAACCCCTCACTAGCGGATTCCCAGGGGTCATTGACTTCGCCCGAGTGCTCCTCTTGTCGAGTAAAGTATTCTACTGATCAGGACTTATCTTTTGTTCGCACGAACTTGCCGAGTTCGGTTAGTCAAGTTCAGAACTTGGCTAAAGCTCACACGACTATTCAGAATACCAATACTCAAGGGGTTAACACGAACGTTCAGAATGCAGTTACTCAAGTTCAGTTTCCTGCTGGTCGGGATTCAAGCGAGCCTTACGTGAGCTTGCATTCTGCAGTTCAGAACGAGCATTCTACGATGCAAATTGATAACGACATTTCTACTTGCAGTACGCCTAGTGGAGTTGCTCACTTCGAGGCTGGGAACCCCCCTTCGGATTCGCAAAGTGTGCGTGTTACTCAAAGTAGCGGACAATGTTTACCAAGTGGTACATCTTGTTTGTCACGTAACCCTAAAAGTGGGTTTTCTCCTGATAGAGAGCTTTCTTGTGTTACGAAAACTGACTCGCTTGTTAATGAGAGTGCTATCGGTAGAGATGAGGTTGGTGTTGTAAATATTGAAGCTCAGCATCCCTCGTCTGCTCTGATCAGGTCAGAAAATGAATTTTGTGAACTCGTTCCAGATGTGTCAGATTTGCAGCGACACAATAATCCTGTTTCTACGATCTGTTCGCCCCACAGAGGCGTCACAGTTTTGTCGCTCCGAGCACGGTCAAGTTCTCTGGGTGAAAACTCCATTTACGTGAACTCTTTCGAGGTTTTGCCTCGACCGCCTCCAAATATGCGAATTCCTCCCGATGAACTAGGCGCGCCTAGCAGTGCAGACGATTTAAACACGAAGAGCGCTGAACAGCATTTGACAAAGCGAGCTTCGCGTTCCAATGACGCTTTGTTAGAACAGCGCGGGATCGGACGACGTGAACGTAGGAAAGAGACCACTAGACATAAGAGGAGAAAGCATCTCTATGACAGCCCCAAGCACAAAGATAAACGCGACGCAAGCGATAAATGTAAGGTGAACAAAGGGCATGAAGACTCTGTAGCTTCAGGCAAGGAAACTATAGTATAGCATAGACCATATTTCTTGCAGGAACGAGACATACTTCAGTGAAAGGGACTATGTCACATGCTGTTTTAGGTCAATCTTTTTTGTGCTGAAGTCATTCCTCAGTGCCAGCTTACCCAGATACAGAATGCTCCTGTACAATTATAGAGAAGATATCAATCAAATTTCTTCGGGGAGCACTAACCATAATAATTATTTTGGCGATTTTTGCGGGCATATCATTAAAACTTGAAAAAGTTGGCAGAACATTGTAAGTTTTAATCCATGTCCATCCTTGCCATCCTTTATTACTGTGAACAGGAAACGGTTTCAATGCCTAAACGTAGGCTTAAATAACAAAACTGAACCATTATTTTTGGACTTTAATGAATGCAAAGATACCAAATAGCGTGACATAGTGCCCTTATAAGCCCTGATGTGGCCAATTTTTTCTCCGCACTATTTTATATACATTTCTCATTGTGGAGAATTCATTTAACAATCAAAGCGTTTTAGCTTTGCTGAGCTTTTGCTTGATTCCCATGATCATCGTTTTGCCGGATTAGGCCGTGATATAACAGAGGTTAAGCATCACGTTTACGGCAAAAGGCAAACGCGAATTTGAACGACGTGACCAAATTTCCCCATTACTTGTCGTTTATTATTCATTATTTCTACACATAAATTAGTAGTTTCACGCAATTTTTTATCCATAAGAATTGTTTTGAGCTGTTTTTATCTGCTCATTTTCTATCTTGAGAAATTCTCAACTTGAATCTAACGTTTGCAGTTTGCCATATACCTGAAGCTTAAACTCTACTCTGTTATAAGGAGAAAGTAGATTTTGGTCGGAGTTAGGGCTTAACGTTAGTCGATAGGGTTTTCAGGGTCAATACCTCCCAAGTTTGAGTATAAACTATAAAATCTATCTAGCGGTTTGAAAATCATCCGCTTATTTGTAAAGTTAGTAGGCCAAACTGTTTACAAAACCGCTAACAAGAACGCCTTGACACATACTAATCAAATCCTTCTTTCTAGCAATCGGCTAGAGCTATCTCCATGATCTTTCACACACGTTTTTAAGAAAGGCTGAAACTACTATGAGGTGAAATTACATTACAAAAGTGCTTCGTTTTATACAGATAACGGCCGAACATCAAGATTGTCCAGGTTTTACCGTGTTTCTAACCATAAAAACTTCATCCCAAGATATCTCGACAACACTCCAAAAGATGTCGCTTAAACTTCACGAACATCGAGGCGCCTATTGGAGGAATAAGCTCACATGAACGATTTTGGAATTACACTTCACGTAGTTTATGCTCAAATTTGGGAGGTATTGACCCTGAAAAAACGTATCGAGCCACCTCAATCGGTTTAAGAATGCAGTCAGGGTGGTAAAACCTTTCCTTGGGAGTCGTTATAACAATCCTGCGCCACCGCCGATTTCATATGGCAAAATCACTTACAAATTACTTTATTTTCACCCAGAAAAGAAGGTTTGATTCTCGTTCGTGGCGTTTTAGTAGACAGAACAGGCGTTACTTTTCGCGTTTTTCCGGCGAGCAGAGGCAAGTGAAAAACACCCTCAACGGGGGAAGGCGCGTGTGTTGTCCTCCACGCCCGCCCGCGCGCGCGCTTAGCTTTCAGTCCTATGAAAAACGCCAAAAAATAAATCCTTTTCTGCGGGCTATGGCTTAAAACTTGGTAAAACTGCCAGCTGATTAAGCTTTTACTTTAATTTCGCTTTCTTCCTTCCTGATAAGCTTTGTTTCTTAAAAGCAGGCGTAAATCTTCAGATCCTACATACAGAAACAAGAAAACTCGAGACTTTTGAATTGTGCTGTCTTCAATATTTTCAAATTAGTAAAACGAATTTTTTGAAAAATGTCGAATTTTTAGTACAGGCGCTTTGGATCAATTAAATTTGGTAGACTATGCTTGGTCCACGAAAACTCTCTCGGAAAAGTTGAATAGATTTATCATTTACTAATATATAAAAGAACAGACAAGGTCAAAGATGATTGCCGCTGATCTGTTATTGCTCATGCGTTACTTTGTATTTTGTGCCTGAGAACTGCATGTCCGTGCATCTTAAATAAAAACAAAAGAATTATATATGGGGCATAAAGTGCTTAGACTGAAGAAAGAAAACGTTCTATTAAATTTTTAGAGGAAACTGGAGTGTTATTCCTTAGGGTGGATTTCCACTGTCGCGTAATTTTTACGCACGTGCGGAGATAAGATATAGGCAATGTATGAAAGGCAGCGCTTTCTTGTTCAATTTTTACGTTTACGCGCGACGTTCCATACATTTACACGTGAAAAATTACGCGATGGTGGAAATCCACCATAATGCGTTGGGCTTTTTTATGATCGCACAAGCTGTCAATAGTATGTGATATTCTAAGCTTTCCTGGGTTAAAATTGGGGCCCAAAATATACTGGCCAAAAGTAGAAGCAGGCGCTTGTGTCAAGGTAGCTTAGTTTCTCTAGTATTTACAACAATGGGCTACGAAACTTAACGTCAGCGCGGAATTTCCTGCGTGTAAATGACCAATTACAGCTTCAGAACCAAGAAATATGTCACTTGAACCTATCATCCAATTTTACATACGACGGAAAAACTTTAAAAACTGACAGACTGAAGAGTTTTCAAACCCCAGCAACACTCTGTTTTTATCTTCTTTAATTTTGTTCATCCGTGCTTTCCTTGTCGAGTTGCTCCTTCACGGTTTCTACATTTCGTGACTAAACTCCTTTTTCCATTGGAGTTCAGTAAAGTTTGTAAACAAAAAACTGCGTTAAGCTTCCGTCCACACAAAACGATGTACTTGCAAGTTTTGAACCTGCACAAGTCTCTTGGCCTGCGTTCAAACATTCTTTTGCTTAAAAAGACATGCAAACGAGGTTAAAGGTTAGCACAATACAGAATGTACCTTTCGCCTCGTCCACATGTTTAAAAAATCGTGAACAACTGTACAACAGCTATCTCACCCTTTGTAGGGCAATCCAAGACAATCTTGGATTCTGGATTCCACGCCGTGGATTCCGGATTCCAGGTACTGGATTTCTTTGTCAGTAAAATTTGGATTCTGGATTCCAGTCGTTGGTGGGATTCCGGTTTTTTTTAGCTGTATTCGGGACTCCAAAGTCCAGGATTCCAGATTCTACGTGCAAACTATCGAATAGCCACAAAGTTATTTCTTTTCTTTATTATTTGTAAACCTTTTGCTTTGGCAAACAGACCCGGTAGTTAATACTGCTAGGTGCTGAGAAACTCGAGAGATTCAACCTTTCCATCTAATTGTCCGTCCACATTTGTGGTTTTAAACGAATTAAAAACTAAAAGGAGATTTATCTATTTATAGCCGCTGCATGTCAGTGAAATCTGTTCCAGAGCACGTAAATTACGTCTTGTGTAATAATAATAAATTCGTTAGAGAAACGGAACGAGTTCCGTTATATTTTGCCCAGTAGAGACCATAAAGTATTTGAAAGTGACAGAGTCGTGATTTTAGTGACCTACAAAGTATTAGATCGCTTATTATTGTATATTATGGTTTATTGTGCCATTAAAAGAGGGTTGTTCAAAGACATGACTGCATTAAATCCAGGACTTGTTTACTAATATGTATTAGAAAACAAAACAAAAAACAAATTAAAGAGATGAACATTGAAAGAGGGTATACTCTATCGTGTTTTATTCTGATTTGCTTTTTCTGATACAGGAAAATGGTTATCAAGTGCGATTTCTCGAAAAGAAAAGATTGTTCTCATTGACGTGTCATTTGACTAGCGTTTACCCCAGGCCAACTTATTTCCAGTCTCTAGTACGTTTTGAAACTCATAACTCCACTCCTTTTTTTAAAAAAGACTGTAAATACGCTGCGAGTGAGTTCTTTAGGAGAGTTTGCTCTAAAGGTAGGTAAATACAGGTCAAATGTAATTGGTTTAATTTTGATCTTATGGAACTTCAACTGTTTACTCTTGCCCATTAGCTGTCCGCTTAATACGGGTTTTACCGTCTAAAGGACTGAACAACGTCTACTAACCGTTGTCATGAAAGAATACTGAATTTTTTGGAAGGTACATCGATCCCCAGGGGCCCGTTTCTCGAACATCCCGGTAACTTTTCGGGCCCGAAATCAAATATTCAAATCGAAATATAAAGAATAAATGCAAGGGTCCTGGCTCGCAAACTACTCCATTTTGTTTCATTAACTGATAGTTTTATCATGTTAGATGCAAAACTATTGAAACCTCGATCTTTAATGTAAACGGGGTCAGCTTACCGGGCCCGTTAATTATCGGGACTTTCGAGAAACGGGCCTTAGGTCTTTCCCGTTAGAGGGGCGGCAAGCACTGGTTGCAAGGCTACTCCGGCAGTCTTCAAAAATAGGAGGAAGTGACAGTAACGAAAGGCATAGGCATTTGGTGTGTGGCTTTAGGTGATACGCCAGCTTCTCTGTTGTAAGGTGCCGTTGGCGTGCAAGGTCGGGCCTCCAGCTGCTGACATAATTGTGAGGAATACGTGCAGGAGACGCCGTTAGTCTGTTGCAGGCATTCAGATGGTGGGGAGCGAGTTAAATCGTACGAGGGCAAAAACGAGGGAAAGACGAGGGAAACTTCCCTTATTTAGTTTTTCCTCGTCATTTTTTCGTCCGCGCTCTACTATATATCTGAGCTCCTGGAACAGGCTATGGACGGTTGGCAATGGGTCTCTTAAAATCTGATGACCCTGCTAACTAAGAAATGGTCCAACAAAGAAACTCAACCTAGTAGAGAAGAGTTTGGTTTCAGAAGCTGTGTTACTGCGTCGGCGGTTGACTAGCATACCAAAAGCCAAGTTTATATAAAAATGTGAAAGTTCACAATGTTTACTGTTTGTGTTTTATTTTTGATTGAGTTGATCAAACAAATTTAACAACGTAATAAGGCTGCGATGAGCTAGCACCCGAAATGTCAGCTTCTTGATGTTTTGTTGCGGTGATAAGTGATTTTACTGATTGACTCATTTGATAAAATAATGTTTTGTGTTTCAACCAAGGAGAGCATGCAATAGCTATCGAAGATTCCAAGCCGCTTTCCCCAGCTTTCCATTAACGGCGTGTCAAAGAACCGACTTCTTGCGAGTGCTGCAGCCTTCTTGGTCGGTGCGAGTCATTTTATTTGGGCCATTCAGTAACGCCGTGCCGGCAGTCGATGAGCATGAAGATTCAAAAGCTTCACTGTTCGCGTTAACGACTTGCCGAAGTGCCGCTGAAACTTCGTTTTGATCTTGCGCGAATCCGCCAGATAAAAGAGTAAAAGTCCCGAAAAATAGAATATCAAAGAGTTGCAGGTGAGACCGCTGAAAATAGATTTAAATTTGATAGTATAACAGGATCCTTGGTCACTTTTGTTTCGAACGGGAAAATAAAGACTACGGGGTGTTTCAAAAGTTCGTTCCGATTTTTTCCTCGCATAAATTTCATTGATTATTAAAACTACCTTTTGTAAAAACAAGTGAGTTATTCTTTATTCATTTTACACCTAATAACTGAAATTAGCCAAAATGGCCTCCTTTATTTATTGTGACAGTTTCTAAGCGGCGGGGTATAGAATGTGCGAGCTTTGTAAGTGTCTTTCCCGGTGTCTTTACATTTTTCCATACAGGCGATCGAAGAAGGAATTTTACAACAAATGTTCCGAAAATTCTAGCTCTCAAATCGTCTTCCGAACAGATATTTTTCCGAAAATTGTCGTTGGGTGCCCCTCATGTTGTAAAGCATATGGACTAAATTGAACATTCCAGTCCAATCCAGTCCATGTTCTACAATATGCCGGGGACCCGGGGCCGGAAATTCAGTTGCACGCATCAGTGGGGTATCCGTATTACAGAGTTTACCTTTAAGCAATCAATCGATGTTTTATTTCGCTCTGCAACTAGTCTGTTTACATGGATACATTCGTCGCTATAAAATAGAATAGACTCAATACTGTGGCGCAAGAGACTCCCAAACCCCACCTCTGTCAAAGGCTTAAACCAGCTGTTGTGTTAAGTTCTCAAACATAGCGGAACTTACATTTCCCTGATCTATAATGTTTTCAAATCCACAGCCGGTCCGTGACTTCTCTCGGCTCCCCCAAATGGATTTCTGGTTGTCAGAACCCCTGCATGCAGTGAGCTCTACGTTTATGCGCAGGTCTACTTTCGTGGATCAGGCGAAGGGGGGTGTTTAGTGTTTATAATGTGATCCAAATTTAGGAACTGAAATGTCGTAAACAGTCATCGTTTACCACACTAGAAGAGCTGAGAATTTTTTTAAAATAGTCGAATTCAACTCACGTTTCCTTTCTTGGGGAAGAGAGAAGGTCAAGGGCCCGGGGTGAAGAGTCCTCAGTTTGCTGAGTCAGTACTTGGACAATCGGCTCCTGATTTATACAAAAGCGCTTTATATACGGTATTTGTCTAGGAATAGAGATCAGTCAACTTAGAGTTGGAAATAGTATTAAAGCATAGAAAAAGACCGCACAAAGAGGCTGTTTTAAAAGCTCTTCTGATGCGAAATGTGTTTGTTTTTTTTCTAAATAAAGTGAAATAATTTTTTCTGCACGTACGAAAGATAAGATGAACTTTGGCATGCCTTGCGACTCTTGCGTGTAAACCACAGGAAGGAACTATAGAGGAGGTGTTAGGACCGGTGTATGAGAGGTCATCAGAACCAAAGAATGTCTGATTAGGCAAAATCTTTGCATTGCGTCGGTTTTTTTTTAATCCCATGCATCGGTTTCTGTATAAAAAACTTTTACTCTTCACGACCTTCGGATGTAAAGGGAGTGGCTAACATTAACCTTCACATTTTATCAGAATGTGTGAAATTCCGGGTGAAGTAAGAAAAAGATTTTTCCAAGCTTTATATAAAAAAGGATGTCTACACAACATTTGTCAAAAACTGACTGACCCGACATTGCACACGAATTTTGCCCTTCTTAAAGTGAAAAATTTGAGTGGAAAATAAACACGAACTCTGGCTCCAATTGTATTCTTTTATTTTTAAAAAAGTAAATAGATTGATTGATAACATGAATAATCCCTGTAGACGTGATGACTGTTTCCGTTGGAAGTATCTAGTTTCTATTGTCTCAGGCAGGAATGATCTGGTATGGTTTATTCATGTGCTACATGTGATGCGGGCGTTTCATTGCGACGGAGCACTAGACAAACCGGTTTGACAGGTAACAGTAGATCAAAAGGGTTTACGTTTGCACTGTCTGCGTCGTTGAAGTCGGTATCTAACAGTTGCACTGTGGACATTGAAGAACCGAGAAAACCAGCGAAATGAAGACTATTTTATTGGCTTTGCTGTTTTTTGCTGTGGCTTTGTTTGTCACCGTTGAATGCAGAAGAACCGGACCTGGCAAGGGAAAAGATCCTAAGTCTGGAAAAGGAGCGATCGGCAAGCTTAGGAAACTAGGTAAAAGGCACTACATTGGGTGTATTTTCTTTAGTTGTGTTTATGGTAAACAGCTCTCTTTTACTTCCCAGAGATTTTGATAGTCTTTTGAAATGCAGGGCTTGTAACTTCTTTGCTAGATGCCCTACATTTTAAGCGCCAAAAACCGGTAGATACCGGTAGTTTATGTCAGGTATTATTAAACGGGGGAACTGTTTCCAAAAGTACTGTTTCACTTACTTCAATTATAGAGAGTTTCAATGCACTTAAGTAGTAGAAAATTCAAATAGATCTTATGCAAAACAGAGAAATACTTCCATATGTGATGATTGCGCTTTTGAAGTCATCTGTCAACCAAACAAACCTGCGCAATAACGATGATTAAGCAAAAGGCGATTTGTCTTTTTAATAGTCTTCTCTTTGAAAACGACCTTTGCCTTTGCCAACTGCCACAGATGCAAAATCACTTTTACAGGATAACATTTGTTTTTAGTGAAGCATCTGGCAAAACCATGGTCTTTATTATTTTTTCGTCGGCGTGATCATTATCCTGAGCTGTGTAGCCGCCACGGCGCCAGACTGCATGAGAACAAGTGTTGTTTTCTTCACGTTTTTCATGCGAAGGAAGCGAGCGAGGGCGCGAGACACGCGCACGATGGGTGAAGGCCCTACACGCCCGCTTCGTGTTTCGCTCGCCCGAAAAACGCGGGAAAATAGGACTGTTATTTTAGTATTTTTCTTTGTTCCTCTCTGTCTTTTACTCTCTTAAAGAGACATCATATTGTCTGTCTACAGGCTGCCTTGTCAAGAACTGTTCCACGTGCAATGATGGCTTTGTTAGAATCACTTACAGTTTGGCACGAAGACGATTACAAGCTAACAGAAATTTTACCGTTTGCAAGCCTTGTAATCAAACTGAGAAAGGAAGGATGAAAGCAAAAATGCAAGTGATCGATAGAGACGAGTCCAAATGCCCTCCAGGTCAGAAGGAACATTCATTTTTTCGTTACGGAATTTAAAATATTGTGAAAATACCCTCAACAAATGAAGCGAAAGAAAGGAGAAGCAGAGGAGAAACGCTCATCAATAACAATCAGAATATCAAAACTCCTGCGTCTGTAACCTGCTGTAATTCCCGGCTTTGTGTTTCTAAGTCAGTAAACATAGTGATCTCTGCCTGCTTGAGAGAAAAAGATCAGATTTACCGGTTAAAAGTCAAGCCTAGTATTTGAATAATTCAATTTTGACTGACCAATGGCATTAGACTGCGAAACAGTCCGTATTTTTGTCATTTCTAGCGAGCAGTCAAACGCGACTCTAGGGCCGGTAGAAAACCGACTAAATAGTCTAAAAACAGACTTAATATTCCTTTTGTCGCCATCGAGCGAATAACAAAGGTTACTTTTTCGGAGCACGCGTATAGTTAAACAGCGCTTTGAGCTGTGAGATCCTCTGAGCCTCTACTGTAGTAAAGCCAATCAACATGTTTATGAATTTGTTCCGATTTCAGTTACTGGTGCGACCGAAGCTCCCTGTAGCAGAAACTGTGCCTTTTGTGTCGATGGCGAATGTACTCAGTGTAACCAGGGATTCGCCCATGTAAGACATACCAAGCGTCAGAACGTTACACGTTGCGTTCCATGTGAGATGAGAAACTCCAAGAGGAAAGCCGCAAAGTTTACTGTCCTTGACGAATCGCAATGCCCAGGTAAGATGCCGACATCCTCCTAGCCTGAATAGTAGACTTCGAGTTTTTCTCAGGGATAAATACTTGAGTGCTTGTGAACCTTTCCCTGCGTGTCACCTTCCTCGCGGGTGGCGGTTGTCACGCGCGCCCGTGTTCTATCCCTTAGGAAAATGAGAGGCTTAAGTAATGAGCCTGCGTGCCTCCCCCGAAGTTGCTAGGAGATATTAGAGTGGTTCAGAATCACGTTCAAGTCGAAAAAGCAAGCGTCAATTGGTATCATGTGACCAAGTTTCTCCATTACTTGTCTTTCACTGTTCGTTATTCATACTGAGGAAGTTGTTTCATGCCAGTTGTATCCACAATAACTATTTAGAAATGGTCACACTCATCTTAGATCTGACGTTTACTTTTTGCCATAAAGGTGATTGTAAATCTCAATTAACTGTTTAAGTGATTTGTGCAAGAGAAGAAATATGAAGGACATTTCTTGTGGGAAGCATTCTAAATCTGGCTCATTTTTGTGGTCTCTTTTTGGCAGATTTGCAGAGCTTTTTTAAATGTAGAGACGCCAGTCAGGTGCACACTTTGCTCCCTCGGCCTCGCTGGGCCCTAGATTCTAACGCGTGCTATACTTGCAGGCAGTCGATCATTGATGTGACATTATTATTTTTTTTCTTTTTCTACCGTTTTAGCTGCATGTGATAAAGGCTGTCGCAACTGTGTGGATGGCAATTGTCTCGAATGTAAAGCAGCTTATGAGCTGGATCAAGAGTCAAAGCAATGTGAAAAGAAGAAAGGCAAGTCAAACAGATTAAACAGACCAAGAAATCAGTCGCCGTTTCGTCATTTTTGAGCGAAATCTTCACTGTTTAGCAATTTGTCTCGTCAAATTGTTAGAAATGAATTCGAAACTTCAATTATTTTTTAAAAAGGGAAAAGGAAATGTTAATGTATAAAAAATTAGACCAAAATTATTTATTGAGGTACCCTGTGTACCAGGAGTTTTTCTTGCGTTCGGCGATTGAGTGCGGCGGAGACGCTTTGGGGTCGGCAGCAGGTCGACACGTCTTCGGCCTTTAAGCCGAAGCCACGAGCGGCGACGCGCGCGTCACTAAAACCGGAAAACCAGGATACCGTTTAGGCCCTAAGAGTGACTAACATCAACTTTCTCCCAATACATGATCAAGAGAATAGGTTATGAGAAATGATAAAGTGATCACCAGAGGAGAATTATTGCTTTGATCTTTTATCAAATCCTCCGCTCTACGTATAATTTTTTTTTAGCTCCTTTAATAAAATCTTCTTTATTTTGGTACTTCTTTGCTTATAACGGTGATGTTTTCCGTTTTGTAGGAGCTTACGCTTTCAGCCACGTTTTACGGCAAAATGTATTTTATTTTACATTAATACTGTTCGTTGTTTTCAGTTTGTGGTAGAGGCCGCAACAAGAAAAGATGTGCAAAAGGCAAACCAGGAGTTAAACCCAATAGAAAAGGTAAGCTATTAATCTCATTCCACAACTGATTGAAAGATAATTAGTGCCTCTTTCAAGGCAATCTGGACAGCTTGCGTGTCCTACGCTTTCATTTGAGCGAAGAAAAGAAAATTTCGTTCGCTGAGAAGACACGAAAAAGACTGAGAGAGCAAGTCACACGAGCTCTCCAACGAAAACCGCCGGCTACGAGGGTCATAATCTAGATAAATTTGAATTCGGCGTGTTTGCCCCGAAAATGAATAAAAGGGTTCTGTTCACGTAGTCGTTTCCATATCGTTTTCACTCTCCACATTGAAACGCTGTTGCAGACGTCGTTGTTAGAAAAGTCAGATGAACTTTTTGCTGGTTGTAAAACACCGCTTTAAAGTGTACGAAAGGCGAGACTGGAGAAAAATGAAAAAAAGAAAAAAAATTGAACGTCCTTCATCCAATTGGCATACAAAGAAGTAGATATGAGTATATTTGGCTCCTTATATGGTCTAAAGAAAGGTGGGTGGTGTGGGGAAAGGGGGCGGGGGTGGGGTGGGAGCAGTTTGAGATTGAGTCAAGGTGGGCTCCTGAGTGTTAACTTGTGAACAGATGCGGTTCTGAAGCATGCTGAATCAATTAATATTGTATATTTGTTTTTTTCATTTTATCTCTAGGAGGAAAAAGAGGACCAAAGACTCCAAGGCCTTGAAACGTCCATACAAATCGCGCGTGTACATTTTTCTTCTATCCACGCACGTAAGTCGTGCGTGGAGAGAAAATCAAGAGGGGTGTATTTCAGATGATACATGTCGCTATTTATTTTTTTATTAGACTTTTGGTGATATCATATGGAAGACAAAGCACAGGATACTCAAAGGATCTCTTTTTTTTATTGTAAAAACCACAGTGAAAGTTGATTAGTCGAGCAACGAAACTATGGTTCTTAAGATTTTTGTTCTTCGATCTCTGTTCAAGAAGTAGCTGAAATAGTTAGCTTGGGTGCTGGGTGTACAATTAAGTACTCAAAGAATATTTTTTTCGTCGTATTATTACCAGATCAGCGTTCATTTCCACTTACGCTCAGCTGAATCTCAGTGTATGATAGATTTTTGTTTCTTAGATAATTCTAGTGTAAGCGAGACTTGGAAGGTTTGCTATGAACACCCTCTTGTAGCCAGTTGATGGTTGCTCATTTCTCTTTCTAGCACATGTATCTTATTGAGAGTAAAGAAAAGTCACTGTATTGATTTCACTGTAGTGGTTAGCATTACAATTTTTCTTGAATCTTTGCTAATAAATTTTTTGCTCAAATGCCGGGTCTCGATAATAATTCATTTTCTCGATGCGTCATTTGACTTCATCTACAAGATATGCTTTTGCTGATTCCTTAATGCGTTAAGTAATACTACTGAGGTTTACTTACAGAGAAGAAGAATAGAAGAACAAGAGATCAATCTCCTTTACAGGATTCTGATAGTTGTACTCAGTTGATGCATAGTTAATTAGAGTGGAAGCCGGTTGGGAAACCCTTTATTATAGGTCTTGGTTAGCTTTTTTGAACCTGACCGTGCACAACGTTCATTAGCATTTCTAATATATAGATTTAGCCAGGGCTAAAAGCGAAGCTCTGGTTAATAATACGTGTAAACAAAAAAAAATTAAATCGTGTAATGCTAAACGGGGACGACAATGAAAATGGCTTCAAGACTAATAGATCTAATTAGCAAAAAAACAAATTGCACGTACAGCACACTTTTTCTGCTAATTAGCAAAAAACAAATTTGCACGTGTAGCACACTTTTTTGTCTTGCTCTTGCCGTTGTTTTGCTCGACCACAAGGCTGATTTGTACGACTAAAACGTCGAACGTCCGAGTTACACATTATTTTTAAGGAGGAATTGTCACTGAATTGTCGTATTTGGTTACCCAATATTCTGTTTCCTGTGGTCATGTTCACTTTTATTTTTCACTGCCGCTCATTTTCACCTTGCTGGCCGCTACCATTTCTCATTTTCTCACCGCCGCTTTGAATTTCCATGTTTTTCTTCCTAGGAAATTCGTCTCCTTTGTTTTCAATAACTCGCTCTAGCTCTTTCTTTGTTATCCACGTTAGTGCAAACATAAAAAAATAACGCGCAATAGACACGACTTTGTTGTTATTTTTTTTTTCTGAAAGTCCGGGCGGCCATGTGATTTCCCTCTAAATAAAACGTTGAGTTGCATTTGGGTTATCATACCTGTTGATCGAGTTATTTTACATTGGTATGCCTGTGGTGCGGACGGACGGACGGTCGCTCGGTCGGTGTACGGTCACGTGGTTACCAAATTTTGTCGGATGGGTAGATTACCACATTTCCTTAGCTATGGGGTACGTTTTTTATCCTCTCTCGCAGTTCCTTTATCAAACTGAAGTATTTTTCGCAATGATATAGCTAATTTATTATTGTAGACTTCAAAACAGTCCGTATTTCTGGTATTTTGTGTATTCAAGCACGCGCGAACAGTCAAACAAAAGGTCTGGGGCTCTTACGCTAGTCTTACGCAACACTAAACCGATTTCGAGGGAAAAAAACCTATTATTGCGAAAAATTGAACGTTAACCAAATACAGTTTTACAGGTTTCATATCAAGAATAATTTTCATTAACATTAAATAATTGCGGTAATTAGGTAGATTGATCTTCGTTTGCGTTTATTTTGTCTCTTTCCTATCAGATCTAGAGAATATGGCGGACAGTGTAAAGTAAAGTGAGGGAGGGGTGGAACGCGGGAGTTATCCCCCCAACACCTCTCTTTCCTTTTCATTTCCATCTCCCATCTGTTCGCGTTTTCATGGATTCTCTTCTTTTTTCCCCACCAGAGAACTTGTTAGGCTGCAATTCAGGTTGACGTACAATTAGGGAGACCATTAGGAAATAAAATGACTTGATCATGAATTGCAGTCTTTTTTTTGGCGCCTAAAAAACTGACCAAAAAAATGCTTATTTTTTACCTTTTTTTCCCATTAAACTTGCTGAAGCTGCGGCGTCCATTTGGAGATTGCACGTGATCCTGGGTCGAACTCTTACGTAATGATCATCTGTCTGACTCCCCCTGAGCCACCATGCATATTCTCTAGTAGATAGCCCCTCGCCATACCTAGTTTTAACAAGAAAAAACCCTTCGAGAAAAGCATTAGTTAGATTTAGAATAAGTAGTCATCAACTTAGAATTGAAACAGGTAGATACGAAAACATTCCTCGCCATGAAAGGATATGTCACTTTTGTACAAGTAACAAAATCGAAGATGAAAATCATTTCTCACTAGATTGTAAGGCTTATTGTCAGATCAGAGACATATTTTTCTCCAAACTAGAAACTAAAATACCTGACTTCAAATCACTTTCACACGATACTTTAATATCTCTTCTTATGAATTCTTCTGATTATTTAATTAACTGTCAATTAGTTTCATTTATCTCGCAATGCTTTGAATTAAGAACCAAATTAATATCAATGAATGAATGAATGAGAACTGTAACGTTTTGTAATGTTTTGCACGTACTAATTAGTTGAATTAGTACTTAAATTTAGATTAATAGCTTTTGCAATACTGTAATTCCTTTATGGTCGTGCAAATAAAGCTTTTGGTGTTGTTGTTGTTGTATATTGGCTGAAAATTTGACATCGATTTTTGAACGGCTTGGCGTCTAAATTTTCGTAGGGCTAGCGCAGTGTGACTGAAACATCTAACACGAATTTTCAACCAGCCAAAATATGTCAACATAGCCTAAAACGGAAATTATCATTTTTACTGATTAATTGACCTCGCGTGGAGTTCCTCGCCCCCAATTTTTATTTTATCCACATGTGTATGTATATTTCCTTTTTTTACGGAGTAAAGTTGTTCGCCCTAAATGTTTTATACCGTACTGTCTGACTTTTGTGCAATACTCGCAAAAGTGTATACAGTCAACTCCCTCTAAGACGGACACCTTTGGGACTGGCAGTAAGTGTCCGTCTTAGAGAGATGTCCGTCTCATAGAGAGTCAAAGAAAGGGAGTAAAGAAAGGTAGGGACATGCTCTAGGTGTCCGTTTTAGGGAGGGGTCCGTCTTATAGAGGTGTCCGTTAAGAGAGAGTCGACTGTACACACTCGGCTTTTGTGACGCTCTCATTGCCTTTACCGTCATCGCTGCTAAAAGCTTTCTAACAGCATGAATCAGTTACTCAGGAACTGGGACAAAAATAACGGCTGAGTCGGGGAATACTCTGCAGGCTTATGACTAAGTCCATTCCACCCTTCACCTTGGCATTTGAGACGGAAATTAAATTACTGCGTTTTTAAAATCATGAATGATGTTCATGAGTGTTATATTTTGAATTGTATCTTTCTATCTTTTTTATTTTCGTCTCCCCTTAGCCACTCCAAGTTGTTACCTGTAATGAATTCTTTAAACTGAATGAATGGCATGTATTCACACTCGCCTTTGAGTGAGAGGAATCAAGTCCGTGGGATGTTTCACGCGGGGTTAATCGTATCACTGTATAAGACTCAAAACAAGAGAGACGCTCGGAAGCATTGAGTAACTAGTATTTATATCTATTTGACTCTTCCTAGAATTTTGCATAACAATTATTATTATTATTATTATTATTATTATGTTCAAGTTTCACAGTAAGTGTGCGTGTTTGCTGTACTGAATAGGGAAATTTACTAGGCGGAGTACTGTCAGTCCTCTAAGCTTAGCAGATTACACTCTTTTTTTTTTTTATAAGAATGTTGTTTTTCCGGCCCAGGATGAATATTCTTATTTTTCTGCTGATTTTAGGCTGAAAATATTCTTGTATTATTCTTAAATTATAGCTTATGACATTTCCGTTTTAGAATTTATTGTGGTATCAAGGACAAGTGTTTGGTATCTGGATCTGTATCGCGTTACATTGTGCACGTGCTCCATCGCTTTTCGTTGCAGTCAGTTTATGTCTTTTGTGCTGAATACTGCACATATGCATTACATGTACCGTTCATCGAACTGTCATTAGCGTTGAACATTTTGCTATAGCTAGTGCAGGTTTTTTCGTTTTGGTGGCTAGTTTCGCTGTTCAGAGAAAGGAATAATTTTATACGGTTAAGTTAAAAACATAAAATTGTATTGTATTTACAGATGTTTCAACACACAAAATTATATCTATTCTTTTCAAAATCTCAGCCTCGGCTTTATTCTTAAAATATTCTTAAAATTTCGCAAATTTCAGCCTCGATATTCTTATAAAATATATTCTTATAAAAAAAAGTGTGTACAACTCTTCGCAAGATATCTGCGGAGGCCAGAACAGCAGGGTGTAGCTCGGCCTCAGTAAAGAGGTCTTTCAGAGCCTTATAAGTCAATCCATCAATGATTGGAATAATTGTTACCCGCTTCTGCCATTATAATTAATATAATAATAATAATAATAATAATATCATTATTATAGTCATACTTAATAAGATCAGGCATTGTAAGATAGATTTCTGCGGCATTAAAAAACAAAAAATTGGGTAGAGATTTTAAATCTTGTGGTCCGAGTTTCAGACAAGAAGACGTGAGTAACATGGGGAATTCAAAGATCCTCTAAAAGAGATCGTGCTGTAACAATTTTGTCTGAAATTTAGTAGAAATATTTTTGAAATTTCTAGAATATTCCCCAAACAAGTATACACAAGGTGTCGTCTCACAGACAAGTTTAGTAAACGTGTTTTTACCGAAACTTTAATAGGCCAAGGGAAACTCGTACGTGTTACATGATCATTTGACGGATGCGTGCGTAATGTCTACCGGATATTGCGGCAACCTCCTGACAACTTGAGTGGTTATTCAATGATTTACGGATGTAAAAAAACCTCAAAAAGGAATTTCTGGTAATTCGATGTGACCTTGGAATTCAACCCGCTGTTTAGGGGGGGGGGCACTCCCCTATTTGGATTTAACGGTAATGTGTTGCTAAACAGGTTCACGACGCACGGTTTTCGGGGTCTTGAGTCTTAAATGGTTTGAGCAATATAGTAATAATAAAAAATTAATAAAATGCATATTTTAAGAGGAGGCCTCCATCACTAGGAGTGGTTTTCAGGAGGGTCCTCTATTAAAATTAAAATGCTAAAACTAAAATAGCATTAAAAACTCCTAAAATATATTATTAAAAGTAAGTAGCATAAGAATTAAGAACTGCGTTAAGGCAGGGTAGCCCAATCGTTAAACGCTCTAAAATACGTAGTCCGTCTGTCCTATTATGGCTCTTTGTCTTCCCCATTCCGTTCGCGGCTTGGGAAGTCAAGTCAAGTCAAGTCAATCTTTATTTAAACACGGTAAAATCCATCAGGAATTTAAAAAAATTAAAAATAACCTAACTATCCTAAACAAAATTCAAAACCTGACTACAACTAATCTAACTAAAACCTGTTTTTCATGAATGCCGTGTATAACATTAAAAGTGAACATTAACTAATCTTTTAAATTGACTAAGAGATTCGGCTTCTCTCACATGACAGGGTAGGCTGTTCCAGAGAACTGCTCCGCTATAAGTAAAGCTGTTTTTCATGAAATTAGTTCGCGGAAATGGGACAAATAGTTTGTTAACAGAGTCCCTCAGGGAGTAACGCGTTTCATTTCGTTTAACAAACTTAGATGATAAATATTCAGGAACAAGGCCATTTAAAGACTTGTATACCATTATGGATTTCTGTATTTGAAATTGAGTGCTCAAGTCTTTCCAATCGAGTTGTCTAATCAAACGGTTAGCATCAGCATCATAGCTAGAGAAGGTTAAAACGCGAGCGGCACGGTTCTGAAGCTTCTGTAGCCTGTCAAATAATGTTTTACCACAATTACCCCAGACAAGATTGCAATAATCGAAATGAGATTGAATTAGTGAGTTGTATATATAGTGAAGGGTAGGTGGAGGGACAAAAGGTCTAATTCTTTTTATTGCTCCAATTCCGGAAGCGACCTTTTTAGATAATTTATCAATGTGTGTTTGCCACCGTAGATTTTCATCAATAAATATTCCAAGCGATTTGACAGAGGAAACGTGTTCAATCGGAACATTATTAATCGAGAGCTCAAGTGGGTTCGACAAAGTACTCAATTTTTGTCTGGAGCCAATTAGCATGAATTCAGTTTTAGAAGTGTTCAAAGTAAGTTTATTGGAAATAAGCCATTTGTTTAGGTTATCTAAATCGTGACTCAGAGTTAACTGTATTGAATTCACATCAACGCCAGCATAAGTAATGTGGGTGTCATCGGCATACATTCTAGGCTGGCACGAAGTAAGGCAGTTTGGCAAGTCATTATAAATAAGAAATAAAAGGGGGCCAAGGATTGTTCCTTGCGGTACCCCACATTTAAGAGAGCAGATTCTAGAAAGAGAACCGTTAACAAGACATCGTTGTGTACGATTAGTTAAATACGACCTAAACCAATCAAGAGCTGTACCTTGTATTCCGTAAAGGTTCATTTTAGCTAGAAGGATATCGTGGTCAACGGTGTCGAAAGCCTTTTTTAAATCGAGGAAAACCACAGCATTAACATTGCCACGATCAATATTAAAGGCCCAATTATCCGTAGCTTCCAGAAGGGCAGTTGCAGTTGAGTGTAACGAAGTCTAGATCTAGGTGACAACAAGCTGACGTTTTGGCCCAGAATCCTTTTAAACAGTTTCAAAGTTGGCTATGAGCGGTCTATTTTTGTAGTACCAACAATTTTTCTACCCACAAAAGCTAACTTTTATAACTTTTCCAAGTTTCGTACGTAAACAGGTTCAGAGTGTGAGCCGAAGCGGCACACTTGCTCTACCCAAACTTCCCTATAGTGTTCCCCCGGTCTTAAGTTTACGGATGTGTGGGTGGAAAATCGCTTTGACACTTCAATTAACTCCTACGTACTTAATATGCCAGGGTAACACGATCTGCCCAGGGGGATCTCTGCCAGATCTACTGATTTTCCAGCCTACAAAAACGCACTGCGACATCGGCTTCTCTCAGTCTTGCGCGCACGAGTCTTCTCAACCATCACAATGAAGAGCAGTTTGTTAGCTTTGTTGCTCGTTGCTGTTGTGCTGTTTGTTGCAGTAGAGTCCCACAAAAGATTTCGCGGACTTGGTCGTGGATGGGGAAAATCACGAGAAAATCAAGGAACTCCCAGGCGATGGAATAATGGAAAGCCAATGGGACAGTGGAATGGAAATCGTCGGAGATGGCACGGAGGAAATCAAGGTGGACATTTTCGACCACTGGGATGGAATCATGGAAAACCTATGGGACCGTATAATGGAAATCGCTGGAAATGGCAGCGAAGAAATCAAGGAAGACCTTGCAATCAGCGTAAGTTGATAAACCCAAAAAATATAAACAGTATAATGATGTATTGTACAAGGTCAGGACATTTTCGTTGCTCTTTGAATGTTTTTTTGTTCTTAATAAATTTCGAGGATGAACTACCAGAACTACTGTCACCGGCTTGGCTCAGAGGGGTGCATTTTTTTGTCCTCGGATGACCCTGCGCTCGGTAGGCACTGTTTTCTTTCGCAATTTTGCTGTCACACGAGTGTTTAGAAATTGAAACGAAAACAAAATAGCAAAAAAACAAGCAAAAACAAAAACAAAATTTGAATTATGCGAATGCAACACTATATGATCGCTTTTAAAATAGATACATTCCACAAAGATCCGTTTTCACTTTTCCTAAGGCAATGGCAATAGGAACTTTGGACAGATCGCTTGGCCTTTTGTATATTCGTAGGTGTTTTGCACGTGCGGGGCGGGCGTGCCAGGGCTAGGGAGAACGAAACTGTCTCTCTTTTGTCTTCTAAAGTATTGTACGTGAATAAGCCGAGTGGCGCGTGAAGCACAAGACAGCTAACGCCCTCGTTTCTCTCGTCTTTTGGTCTTGTCGCAACTGCTGCTAGTGGGGCTTTGTTGGCAGTCGCGAGTGGTCATGTTTTGATCCAGATCGCGTGTTTCATTCTAACTGATGTCACACTCCCAGTTGGTTAACCTCGTGATCGCCCGGGCGTGATCGTCAGTAATGACGATGCCATTTCATTCTGTAACTTTCTATGTAATCAGAGTGCCGGAGTTTTTTAACCTCCTGATCGGTCGTTACGGCGTGATCGTCAGCTGTTTATTACGATCCCGTCTGTTTTGAGTTCTTTCGGTGTCGTGTTGATGTCTTGTATTAATTTTCTATATTTTCAGCATTGATTCTGCTTTCAGTTTTATACTCCTCCTGTTGTTCTACCATAGGTCACCCAGGCTTACTAGAGAAATAGTTGTTGCGTAACAGAAAAATTGTATGGGGTTTGTTTGGGGATTTTAGCGATCGTTATTTAGGGGTCAAAAAAAGAAATAAAAAGACATCAAAATTTCTTACTTTGTCTCCTTGTTTTGATTTTGGTGTGTTCTTAGCATTTTTGTCCGTTTTGGGGCAGTTTCAGCGAATTTTTTTTAGTTCTGCCGTTGTTCTCAATGAGCGAACAATTCGCCTAAACTTAATTTCCGATTCAACCCCAGAAAATTTCACCAACATTTGACATATTAAATGAAACTGAATAAGACTGATGAAGTATGAAACAGTGCGAATTCACTTTTTTTCAGTGAGTGTTTTCGGTTTATTGTCATCCAGCAACCTCGCCCTAGGGACGAGGTTGGTCATCCAGAAATTGTGCTACCATGGCAACGTGACGTAACGACTTCTCCTCTCTATTGGCCAGGGGATCAAAGCCAGTCAGAAAGGGCGAATGTTTTTGAATATAGGATAATTATTTTCATTGTGTTTATACTTAAGGAAAACGTTCATACATGAGAGCAGGAGTAACCCTTCTGGGGGGTGGGGGGCTCGTTCTGTGCCTCCTCACTACTGGTGACATCTTCGTTTAAAATGATTCAAGACTCGCAGGACAAAGACAAATTTCTTATTGTTTGTTCAACTGTATATCCTTACCTAATGTGTTTTTAGTTTCAGAGCGTCCCAGAAACTGTTCTAACTTCTTGAATGGAACCTGCGTTGCTTGTGATGATGGATTGGTGTTGAAAACATTTAACTTTCCTCGATGTAACAAAACCATCTGCGTGCCCTGTTGGCGTCTGAAATGGAGAAATCCTGATCTGTATCGTCAACAGTGTGAACGTAACACCACAGGTAGCCCACGGACCATCTAATTTACGATAGGAACCTTTAGGGCCAGTTGTTTAAACAGAGTTTAGCCCTTGTCAAATAACAAAACCGCGTTCTAAGCCATTTTCAAATTGCCCCAACGCTTCTATCTAAACACCAGTTATCGCGAACAATTTCAATAAAGCATATAGCGTAGACTGAAAAAGCACTTATTTTCTTAAACTAACCCACTAAGAAAGGGATGTAGAGATTCAATGATTTCTTAAACCGCGGCCTAAGTTAGACTTTGTTTAAATAACTGGCTCTTAGATTCTAAGACGCGCACGGCTATTATTTTCTCAATACTAATAAAGGACGCCCAAAACAAAAAACAGCACCATTTTGGCGGGAAAACGTGATAGCCGTCGTAATTGTACTTCGCGTTTTCGCCAAAATTTCGAAGTGACGGAAACAGGTTATAAAATGTAAGAAGATGTATCATTTTGTACTTGTGAGAGGACTTAGCCTTCTTCCATAAAAATAACCGTGTTAACTTTTCCGGTGAAAACAAGTTAAATGAAGCTTTATATTATAGAAGGTCTAAATTTTGTCCTCGTCCTCAAAGGTCTCTAATATAAGCTTTTAAGAGAACGAATCATGATTCTTGTGGTCGCTTACGGGCGGTTTAATACAACTGTTGGAACAAGTCTCGCTGATCGTAATGCTGGTATTTTTTACAAGTTGTCTCCAAAGAGAGGTGGTCTTGTGTGAACACAAGTAGCCCAAGCCAACTGTCAACAAATAAACAAAGCATTCGAAATCACATTCTTACCTCACTTAATGCTGTGAAATTTCCTGACGCTCCCTTTACGTTTTTGCCTCACTGCAGCACGTTTCAAGTGTCCCCGTGGTTGTGTGAACTGTAGCAGTCATGGAGTGTGTACTGAGTGTAAACCTGGACTGAAGCTGTACAGCCCACAGAACAGCAACATCACCAAATGTGTGTCGAACGACGCCAAGCAAAACAAGAGTGGTGAGTATAATAACTTGGTCTCTCTGACAACTCTGAGGTTAAACTCTATCCAGCCAGTTCTTGATTCTTACAGACGCTGGAAACTTGAATCAAATAAATAGATTTATTTGACTGTCTGGCTGTGTATTTGAACGCTAGTAACGAGGTATTTTGCATTATGTTTTGTGAATTAAGAGACTCGAGTGAAAAATAAAATAAGGTACACTATTAAATCTATCAAGAGGCAACGTCAACATTTGTTGAAAAAATGAGTTCCAGCCTTCCAGGGCGTAGAAAAAAACTTGATTTCTCATTGTCTTGTTTTGCTATTTATTTTATAGCTTGTGGAAAAATGTGTATGGAATGCTCAGAATCTGGTGTTTGCTTAAAATGCATTGAGCCTCTGGAACTCATCCAGATACCAGTGGTAAAAGGACTTTCGGATCCCCAGTTCAAACGCACTATTTGCGGAAAGTGGCCCAGCTTACATAAAGGTAGGTCAGCGCTCGATAAAAGTCTTTTTTTTCCCCAGCAAAGAAAACACAAGAGTCAGGGGGCTGATTGTCCCATATCATGTCTGCCGTTCTGAGTCTACGTGTCTCTGTATGTGACACTTAACACGAGGCTTTTATAAGTACGGTGAAGAAGAATAAACGGTAGGAATTGTTAGTGTACATATGGTTTGTTATAGTCAATGTGTCGTTACAATTTTGGCGGATGTCTTGTTTTGGTATCTCATGATGATTTCCGTTTAGTAGTTGTACAGACCAAGGGCGGAGCCAGAATTTTTCTAGAGGTACGCACAATTCGCTTTGACTGTAATTACTGTATTACGACTGATCTTTTTGCAGGGAAAACTAGAAAAGGAGGAAGAAACCCCGGCGTGTTAGACGTTCCTGAGTAGAAAAAGCTGATTTTCCTTTAACAGTGGAAATACCTGGACCAACTCAAGAGACTTTTTTTTATATTGTACTGCATAACACGTTTTGTACTAAGCAAAAATTTATACGAGAATTATATTTTTATTTTGCCTCGTGTCTTGTACTCTCGTAGAGCGTTACTTGTTAGTTTTCTTGTTTCGTTAAAATGTCATTGTTTCGCTGAAACACTAGGGCCATATATACGCGAGAAAAACGATTAATAGTGCATTTCCACTGTCGCGTAATTTTGCTCACGTACGTGCGTGAATAAAGTTTATGAAAGGTTGCGTTTAACCGTGAAAGTTAAAACTCGCTCAACTGTAACGTTTACACGCATTAAATATTCGTGTGTACGCGGCAGTGTTAATCCATCTTAAGATGCGTTTTAAATCAAAGACATGTTCTGTACAATAGTGTGAGCATATAAGGTGTGTCTAAGTAAAGTCATGTGTTATCTTTAGAGGTGAGAACTATTTTTGTAACATTTATACTAGAAGTTCGTGTCTTTTTCTCCCCGTATATACGACACTTTTATGGCACTGAAAGTTAATGAACCACGAACTTTCACATAATATAGAGGGATGTGTTTATCCAAGTAGTTAATGGTATAACGTATCGTAAAGGGGAAGTTCAAATCGTTGTAGAATGCGTGAAGCGAAACTTGCAAGAAGTGCGACTTCTACAGCCACGGACTTCAATATATAGTGTATATTGGCGTGGGTATCTTCATCTAATGAACAAATCATTTTAATGGATTTGTAATCTTTAGTTTAGTTAAATCCTAGATCGGAATTTGTAACTTTGCATTGTGAAGAATAAAGTCAAGTTAAAATGAAAGTCCATGGTCCAAGATTTCTTATCCATAGTGTGAATAGCTTCTCTCTAAACTGACAAAGTGATCAATCTTGTGAAAGTTACTCCTTAGGCTTGTTATATCAGCATGCACGTTAGTAGGTCATGTGATCAGTTTGCATAAAACTTGAAACCATAGAGCCATATAATTGTCAGAAATGGAAAGAGTCTCACGTTTGAGTTGTCCCAAACCTCTGTTTTAGTTCTAGCATAGGTATCGAAGCCTTTGATACAGAAATATATTTTATTCTCAAGTGAAAAGTTTTGAACATAGCTTTACCTCGAGGTGAGGCTTTTTGAAACTCAGCAAGTACCCAGATTTTGAGACCAATGCCATAATTTCATGATGGTGAGATTTTGTACAGGCTTTACTGTGCTTTTCACAAACATGCAAACTCTAAAATTCAAAAGCCGCCTACACAACTGCGTTTTTCGCCACCGTCAATCATAATTACGATCACAAGCAATGAACCTTGAAACACAGAAACACACAAAACAGATCGAAATCCACCAATCACAGATCACAAACCTTGAACTTTTGAACCCAGTTAAGCAAAGTTCTGTTTCCTAAGAGGTCCGTTAAGATGATTGGCGGCAGTGAAAAACGCAAATGTCAGTTGGTTTTTTAACTTCAAAGTTTGCGTGTTTATGAAAAGCCCAGTAAACCTTACCCTGCCTGTGACCACAGATGTATTTCTGGCAGTCACTTTGACTTAATATGTCAGTCTGCTTTCGCAGCCCAGTAAGGCCTTGCCACCCAGTTAAATTTTCTATGATAAATAAGTCACATATCAGGGTTGGGTCTTAAAGCTGGTAACTGAGGGTGAGAGCAAAATAATTATTTGACATCAGATATAAAAGCATAACAAGCAAATTCTGTTTCATTCTTTTTATCTACCATTTGATCATTGTATGCTCTAAAACGAATAGAGAAAATTATCTAAGGAAATGCTTTTGAATAAATGGAAAAGAAACTGGGATTAAAATTTGGCCTCAGGTAAGCGCTAATCAGACTATGAACAGCTGGGCCTGGCCGGGTGTTTCTGAGAGATAAAGGGGAGTGAGAAGATTTAAATCCCTTTCTTCCCCCTCCCCTCCCTCCCCTCTTCAGCCTTAGAAAACCCCTCTCCCCCTAGCCCCTAAGAGGCCTGATACTTTGGTAAATCATTTAAAAAATCTCCTGTAAAATAGAGAAACCGCATTCGGCAACCGTAGTCATTTCTACTCCTGAGATACACTAAAAACGCCTGAAAACGTGCATTTCACCTCAATATTAAGTACTCTTGCGACAAATATTTAGAAAAGTTGTTCACGTGACCAACTGTTACTGGTGCCTCCGATCTCCATGTAAAAGTGAATGATAGTGGGACTGTTTCACAACGCCAACAGCGTAATTTGAGGTGCGTTCATGTTGTGAACAGGTGAGGATTCATCTTTATCATTGTTCGTGAACGGCTAAAGACCATGGCGAAGAGATCTTCAAGCTCGACCGCCAAGTTTAAAGCGGCTAGTAACTTTTGCTCCAACAATGTTGTTGTTTTTGCTTCCTTTGGTCTTCCTGGGTAAACCCCATCAATTCCATAATGAACTATCAACCCATCCACAATATTAGGAAGCCTTTGAAACGTGATAAGACGCAATTCATAACAGCTTCACGGGATTCTTCTCCTCGTAAAAGTGATGCCTGGCAGTGTCACTTCGAAGAACTCGACTGGGTGTTCGCTCCACTGTTGTTTTGATGTCTTTTAGCGGTTGTCTTGTACACACAATCACAACGAGCCATAACACAACAAAGGAAGCAAACAGGACGAAAGAAACGTCAATAGCAGTAGCCAAATCCAGCGGCATGTCTTGAAATAGTCGTACAAATTGTTAGAAGTTGGAATAGTTTGGAGCGGCCGCAAAGCGAACGATTATTGCGTGACATCATTTATTGAATATTGTTAAAGATATTCAATAAATATAAATAAATATTCTAAATAAATAAATAAATAAGAAGAATTAAAAAAAAAGAATACTAAAAGTAACAAGTTTTGAGTTATTTTCGAATTTGGGAGATATTTCTGATTATGAGACAAAAAAGGATGTGTGACCAATTTTTCATTTAGTCGGCTGACAGCAGCTTGCTTCATGTGTGACGTCTGTACTCCTTTTAATGTCACGCAATGAACAATGCTGCATCATTCTCCGTCGTCGTACTTGGTAGTGTTTGTTTTGTACTTTATTTGGTTTGTGAAATGGACTGCTTGTACTTTTTCTGGCTTAAATTCCAGACTTAAGCCCGATCTCATCTTAAGCTAACATCGAATAATGGAAAGATGGACGAGCAAGGTCAGCCAAGATTTCTAAGGCGTAAAATTCTGCGCAATTCGTTATTTATTTTCGTTGGTTTCATTCTCATTGTTCTTTGCTTCATCTTCCTGGGAATCGCGGAGACCTATCATAGGACAACTTGGAAAGAATGTAGTCAATGCCATGGAGAGAAGAAAGCAAGGACTTTTCGACTTGTTGCCGCAATTTTTTTCGTATTTGGGTTTACGATTATGACAACATTTTGGTGGCATTTGCGTGCGATAAGAAGTACATTTCTTGTGCAGCAGCATCGTTTGGAATTAGACAGATTGTTAGGAAATCGTGAGCTGCCGATCAGGCGAAGAAGACTATCAAATCGAACCTCATTGGGATTAAGGAATAGCGGTTAATACACTCGCAATTTACAGCGATTCATTTCCGTGGTGTTTAGGCTACTGGTCGTACGTGGACGGCGATTTCGTGACATGTCCTTTTTCTTGTTTGCTAACCAACTCTGCGCACCGCTGCAAATGAAGTGAAGACAGACAACAGATCTAGAGTTCCTTTTATTTCCATAGAGCATCGGTTAGTAGGGTCATGAACCGAAGAAACAAACACGCACCTAAACAGTACTTTGCTGTTGTGGAAAAGAGAATTCATAAAATGCACTTATCATTGTTGCATAATCAACAACAACAATCTATTAGGTACTTCCATACGTATTACATGGCATTACCTAAGTAAGAAAAGGTAACAATTATTTCACATCATTTCGTCTTAAACAAAGCTTCTAGTATACTATTCATTATTTGAAAAGTAAAAGCAGAAATAAGTCTACATATAAACGGATCATTATTAATAAAAAGGAATAATCAAATTATTTTTAATTATGATCAAAGTTGTTTTAAAAAGCAAGGATACCTAACATACATATCTCGGCTTTATAGAGTTTCGCCGTTTTATTTTTTTAATTACTTCATTTATTTTCTTTTCTTTAAGACTTACATTTTCTCTTATTATTTTGCATCAAAGTGCATGCTCAACTGAAAGTTTTTGATGATCATAATTTTTAAATCAGGCCATGTATTATTAAAACCGGGATTCATCCTAATCATTGAGTGATTTTTAAAAGCCGTTTCCCATATCCCCCACTTTTCGTCCAAAGAAGAAAGAAAAAAAGGATCAAATTAATCCAAAAGCGCAACAGATCACGCAAAAATAGATAGAATGGTGGAATAGGAGGAGAAAAAACTTTTCACCTATACGATTCCGATCTTGTTGCAAAACGGAAAAGAGGGGCATGAGCAACACTCTTAATGGGCAGGGCCTTACTTTATAACTACTAAAACAACAACAACAAAAGCAACAAGAAATTCTTACTCCATATCCTTGTTTAGGAAACTCATGTTTACAGAAAATGTACTGACATGACTGAGCCTGATTTTAGCGATTCGATTCTCAGTAAATAGGCTTTTATATTTTTGACAATGGACCTCTTTTCGCTTAGATTACAAAAAGCAAACCCTGATGCTTATGAGTAAATCACATTTATTCTTATATTTTCTTCTATGTCATTGTTTCAAATCCAGTTTAAAATTATTGAACCTCGTGATCTCTCGCGCGATTTTTAGTGGATGCGAGTTGGCAGCAGGTCAAGCGCGAAAGGAAATAATCATCTCAAATTTCAATCTCGTTGTCAGACGGCTTCAAATTCGAGCATTTTCTCTTTGTCTGCTATTTGCATGCCGTTGCCATTTGGTTGGGAAAGTGATCATCAGAGAGCAGCCAATTTTCAGGAGTATGAACGGATCGAACCAATGATTTTCCGCTGGATGCTGTCAAATCATCGTTCGTCGATGTGTAGAAATTTCTGATCTAATTTTTTTTACTGTGATCGGGCACGTCGTAGCCACTGACTGCAGCTACGTATCTCGAAAAATGTTTCTCGACGATCACGAATTGGCCATCTATATTGCTGCTGGTCTAGCAGGATTCCTTATAGTATTGTGGTGTTTGGCTATTTTGTGTAAAGGACCTTGCCGATCGTTCGACGAACCGGTCAAGTCGCCCTTTGAGATGTACATGGATCCTGCTACAAGGAATCAAGCTTTACAGACCAAGTACGAACTCTACCACTATCATCTTATGGTAAGTAGAATTTATCAAGCCCTTGTCCTGTTGAAACAAACCGAATTGCGTTCATCCGAAAATTGACATGTCACTGTTTTCACAAAATAAATGTATTGAACTGACTGCATGACTAAAGCGATGCCCGCCTCATGGTTATTTTTCGTGTAAAGTTCATATGCAAAAGTTATTTCGTGGGAGAGAATGCAAATTTTCCCATTGTGGTGAGGAGCGGTCGATGTGCAGTTTCGACGGAGTAAAAACCTTTTTATAATGAAGAAAAAAGCAGACTACATTTTCAAATTGAACATCGCATCAATAGTAAGCTTATTTAATCTGAACTGCTCCTGGAGCCACGACCTAAATTAAAAAGGTTCCATAACTTATATTTATTCGTATTAAATACTGCTAATGCCTCCTTCTTTAAAATGTAAATGAGTTGTTTCAAGCTTCCAGCGGCTTCTTCATAGTGTGATTGTCTATGGAAATGTGCTATTAATAGGTTTTTAGGCTTGAGTTGCTTAATCGATGTAGTATTGCTATTTTGGGGTCACTGTTTACATTTGTTATCTATGAAAAATATCGAAGACTTACTTGAAACAATTGATTGATATCTCTCTCTATATAAACTGTTTCACTTTTGTACATGTACAGAAATTATTTATGGCTGTCTGTCTACTGAACATGAAGCACAACCGGCAATATGTGGGCATGATATTGGTGTAGTTGGCCCATTTTTAAGCAATAGAAACGTTTTCCGTGTTGTCATAGCCTTTTTTAACACGAAACGGGTTGGGAGAATTCGAGATAGTTATTCAAACCCAAGATGAAGTAGAGGGTTTGTTTAACTGTCGAGAATGCTCCCAGTCCATCGAGTGTTTATATCAGGCTATGCCAATACAGAAAAAAAGTTTTCTATTGCTTTTATAAATTAACTTTCCTGAGAAAAAATGCAAAACTCATTTCCATGGCACTGATTTCTTATCGGTCGCGAAGTCTTCTACATGAGGTAGCAGCTTTCCTAACCCTAAAAGCCAATTGGTTCAATGCCGTAACCGTGAAACAATGGGAAATAGCCCATTCTTTCTTGCGACTGCTACTTCCAAGCGCCTGCTATGCAGGCTATGTTATTGTTTCCTGTGGCCAATGAGGAAACACCTTACGGGCAGCTCTTACATTACTGGCACTCCCTCCCCCCACCTGCACCTGGTACAGACACCCCCAAATGTAATAATGTGTGTATGAGCTGCTCCAATTTCCATATCTACTACTCTTAAAAAAGGTGCAAATTCCAGTCTCTTTTTCTGTCGTGTACTATTCATGTTGGCATGCTGGAGCTTATACAGTGGAACCTGTTAATACTGACACCAGTGGGTCCAAAAAATTTTGCAAGATTATTGGGTTGGCCATATTACCGGGGAAGGGTCAAATGCACCATACATTGCATTTGCACTTGTTGAACAGCTGTTCTCTTTAATGAACAACTGGAATATAGGTATTGTGTAAAGTAATTGTAAAAACTACTTGAAAGTGTTCTTCAGTGCAAAAAGTACTTTTAAAAATTGGCTATTGAATCGTTGCAAATGCATTTTAATTGTACTGTAGGCTAAAAACAATACAAGAACAGGTTCAGCTTATCAATGTCAAAGAAATAGACATGTCATAGGCATTTACATTTCTATATAAAATTTACAAAGAGTGGCCCTATTAAAGGGGTGAAATTAGAAACAATTCTAATGTTTGGGATTTTAAAATGTGGCCATTAATAATCATATTAATAGGTGACTGCATTAACAAGAATTTTTTTGTACGAAAATGTATGGCTGTTTTGCCGGGCCCCAAAAAATGGCCATATTAACAAGTTTACTGAATTACCGAGGTGGCTGTAAGGCGGGGTTTCACTGCATATTTACCCAGAGCAGAATTTCATAACCAGGTTACGTCTGCTGCCCAGGGCGTGGGATGAAAACTTTGAGCTAATGTTGATTCATCAAGATGCTTTTTGAAGCCCAATGACATATTTAAATGGCAATTGTTTTTACCCCCCCTCCCCTGCCTCTGCATTCCAATACTTCGTGGGCAATACTTCTTGAAGGGGGGGGGGGAGGGTCTCTTTACAACTGATGAAAGTGGAAAATACCATTATCTTCTAAAAACTGCTGATTTGATGGTGACTACATTATCTTTGGTTCTTTGCATAATCTGCTTGTACAGTATATGCTGATTAAAAAGAAGCTTATGCATTGCACATGCCAATTTTTGTAAAGAACAAAAGATACAGCAAAGGTCGGGGGTTACATCGAGCACCACCCAAATGAGTATTTAAAAAATACTATGGTATTTTCCACTTTGGACAACTCTGCAACCCATCACCCCCTTACCTACCTGCCTAGACCATGTTTGGTTTGTTTTTTAAACAATTACATAACGTAGGGAGTTTTAAAGACCTATGCCCCCTCCCCAGCTGTTACATCAGCATTCACAATGTAAAAAGCAGTAGAGGGCAATGAAATACCATGGTGTTGAAGGTAGGGGTTTCTTTACTCTGGGGCTTTGCTCTTAAAGCTGCCTATTCCTGGGGCTGTGCCATTATTCGAGAGAGACGGTCTTTCGAGTAAATATACAGCTATTTCGAGAAAGGTTGTCGGAAAAAGTGCACGCGACAATCCCAAAAGGTATTGTGGGTGGTTTTTCACTGTTCTTCAAAGAAATTTGCAAGAATGGCACTAGAGACCATGGACTTATGTTTGCGATTGCTGAAGGAAAGCAACAGATGTAAGTTTGACAGCTACAGTGTCAGGAACAGCGTATAGATCAGATCCCATATCACCTTTTAGGATTGTCGCGTACACATTTTTTCCGAAAACCTTTCTCGAAATACCTGTATATGGTACCATACAACTCACTGCTAACTGCTATAAATTGTCTTTAGACACCAAAAACACCAGTTGAACGCCATGAAATCAGGGTCCCTGCACAGGTGACGGAAGCAGGTGGACCAACAACAAGCGCATTTGATTTTGGAGCTGTATTGCGCATGCACTCTATGGACAAGGCAAACGCTCAAAATGGACGCCAAGCAAAATATCCGCTCTTAACAAAGGAACAGGGAGACCAGGGAAGTTTGTCATCTGATACGACAGGTGGTGAATCTAGAAATATTTACAAAGTTAATGTGGACATAGAGAGTAACAAAAAAGAAGAAACCAGCGTTCCTCTTATGATGGATAGTAACGTGTGACCATCACCACACATGCACAGAAGAATGAACATGAAAAATTATATGTACAAAGACATGCCCATAGAAAAGAATGAACTATTTAAACGAAAAGGAGATTTTTATTATTGATATTTAGTTAGGAAAAACGAAAGTTAAAAATTAAACGGTTAGGATGAACAGGAGTTTTGGACCACCAACAAACAAGCCTGACACAGGAACGAAAAATAAGCTAAGTTGTGCCATGCAGAGCGTAATAAGGTCAGGTCGCTGCTTATAGAAAGAGCTGCTGGATATTTTTGAGAACCTTTTCGGCTATTAGCTAGATTGACACTCAGAAACGCGTTATCAACGGACCGGAGTTATGGTCGTCGCTTTTATAAGATTTGTGAGTAAAAGGACATAAAATCTGAGTGTTTGCCTACAAATTTAGCTGCTTTGCAAAGGTTTCTAAAAGGCTCATCTACACGCTTAGCACTCTTATTTTCCCTCTTCTAAAGTAGTCTGTGTTAGGAAGTGACCCGGGCCACGAGCAAGGCGCGCCAAAGTTCCCGCTCCAACTGTCGTGCCCTGCCAGCAGGTGTCTAAACTTAAAGTGTGTTTCTTTGGAGGATCCTTGAATTCAAAAAACGAATATTGGGTTTTTCAGGGAAACTATAACAATGCATGAATGTAAAGAATTCACACTCCGAAAGGATTCAGCACAACAGATACAAATTTGGATTTTTAGGATTTGTGATCCACTGAACCGAAAGAAGTACACGAAGCGGTTTTCCTGTGGAAAACAAAAAAGGCTCGATAGGTCTCGCGGGAGCGGCTTGTTTTTAAAAGGTCTTTGGCCCTGTGGACATGAGTTGTTTTAAGGAAGAGAGTGGTCATACTTCCAGCGGAGTCAACTAATGCGGGCGCCAATATGAGTAAAATTTGACCCCTTTGTTGGAGCCAAGAGCGCCCGCGCATGTTCAGTCTCTTGTTGACCATTGGGGCAAAGTTGGCCCGGTGTTACAGTCATCCCCATTCCCAAAACCCTAGTGATATGAGGGGCATCCCCTGTAACCCTAACCGTAACCCAAATCGCTAAGGTAATACGACAAGAGGATGCCCATATCACTAGGGTTTTGGGAATGTGGATGCCCAAAACGCGGAAATGCCCATATCACTAAGACACCGGCTAGGAGGATGACCTTACTATCGAAGAGGGCTAACCTGTCCAGGCAAGTAAACCTCCCATCCGAGCCAACCTTTGTTTCTCATGCAGAGTTTTGCGGGTAAATGTAGGAAAAGTTAGTTGGCTCAGTCTTGCTAATGTAGGAGAGTCACCCTTTTTTTCCAGGACAGTTTTTCTAATTAAAAACAGAGCCTAAGGGTTGATTTCCATTGTGGCGTAATTTTTACGTGAGTACGCACATAAACTTTACCCATGTAAATAAAATAGAGGCAATGTATCGAAGGTCACGCGTAAACGTAAAAGTTGAACCTCGCTCAACTTTTACATTTACGCGTGGCCTTTCATACATTGCCTCTATTTTATCTACGAGCGTACTCACGTAAAAATTACGCGACAGTGGAAATTCACCTTAAGGGAAAGTTCATTTAATATGACAAGGGGGGATGAAGATATTGAAACTCGAAGCTTGAAATTTTAGCAGCCCCCTCGCTAGCGGTTCAATTTTTTTAGGAGCCCCCTCCTTGGTAGTCGAAAAAATTTCAGAGCCCCCCCCCCCTCCCTCCTCCTTCAATTCCTTTGCTCCCCTGAAAAAAGATCGCTAGACTGTATTAAATATATTTACCGTTATTGTCTTCAATGGTTTATACTCTGACAAACTTGAGATACAGTTGTGATACAATTTTCTAAAGCATTTTTAGGATGAACAAGAGTTTAATAATTACTGAGACTACATTTGTTATATCTGTAAACCACGTGATATAGCTGAGTTGCACAGGTCATTAAATTGTTGAGTTGAAAACCATCCGATCTGTATGATGATGTCATGTGTTGGTTTTGAAGTATACAAATTTTCGGAGCCCCCTCCTAGCGCAACAATTTTTTCAGAGCCCCCCCTTCGGGTGTCTAAAAAATTTCGAGCCCCCCCCTCAATATCTTCATCCCCCCTTGTCATATTAAATGAACTTTCCCTAACTTTGGATTATCCCAAAATGAAGCTCGTAAGGTGCGGGATTGCAGAAAAACACCACTCAGGCTACTAACACAACAGCTAGAGAAAATAATCTAGCTCATTCTCTCTTGCACAACAGCACTTTCCCCATATGCTTCGTTATTTTAAACACTGAATTAATTTTGTTAATAGTGTGTCTACTGATTTTGAAAGCTAAGGAGCTCGAAAATAGCTGTCAAATGGCCTGCTGAGGTGCAGTGGTATCACCAACTGATACCTTTGACTTGTGTTGAATAAACTTGCTGAGTGAGAAAAATTATGTGTTGTTTTCTGGGTTCGCCTGATTTTGTCTCCCATTTAGTATTTGACATTAGAGAGCTTATGCAACCATGAAAGCGACGACAGCGGGAACGTCGAGAAAGGAATAGGTTAAAGAATCAAAACAACAACGCTGCACCTTCATCACACTTTTGAGGTGTATTTTCAGGGGCACCCAACGTCAATTTTCGGAATATATCTGTTCGGAAGACGATTTGAGATCTAGAATTTTTGGAACATTTCTTGTAACATTTCTTGCTTGCCTGCTTCCCCTAAGATTTTCGAACATCTGAAAAACGGTATAATTGCCCATTTTTAACGGATTTTTACCCTAAAAAGGTCACCTAGAATTTTCGGAAGCCTTTTTTCTGGCTGAAATTTTCGAAAAGGTGAGTTTTGATCCCAATAATTTTCGGATCACTAGACTTTCAGCTAGCAAATCCCAACAGATGAAAAACGTTTAGGGGATAGAAATATGCCTCTATCTACCGTTTAAATACTAAAATACATTTAACAATGCTATGTTTAAGTGTTTTTGAACTATGTTATCGTTGGGTGCCCCTGATATTTCTCTGACTGAACTTTACATGTGCATCACGCAGTTTTGTACGCCGTCACTGCACGACTACGACGTGAAAATGCCTAATTTCACGTTCTGCGGAGGACGTAAACACAAGACGACTTTCTTTTTCTTTTCCTGAACTTTGATACAGTCTTTTAGACTTCAACTCCAGAAAAAATTGCCAACATTTGACGAACTGAACGAGATGGAATAAGTTCAAGTTTGAAACAGCTCGAATTCCCTTTTTAAGTGAAGTTTTCGTAGCCGCCGCCGTGCTTCTTGGCTCAAAAGGGTCTTACATTTTTGGGTATTATATATAGTGCCAAATTTCTGCCAGCAAGTTCTTATTAGGGGGTGGTTACTGTATGTGATCCCGAAGAATATACAGCTCCAGGAAAATTGGCCTTAATTGGAAAATGAGTGGGTAGACGAATCATGATAAAAAAAGAAAACGATATAGGTAGTTACTTTGCAAATGTCTTTTTCCCTGCTGTCGCCATCGTAGTTCGCCGTCTCTAACAGCTTGGAACCACGAAGTTTTTGATTGGCTTTCCGCTACCGATTTAAGCGATGTATTTCTCTGCCCCCTAGTCTGCTACACAGCCGTGACGACAATAAAAACGGCTGTGTAGCAGACTATCTACCCCCGGGTTTCCACTTGACTCTCTAAAATCGCAAGGGATCGGGAAAATAACCACACAGCAGGCAAGAACAACCCAAATAAATAAGATAAGTGTTTTATTTTGAAAATTTCAGCGAGTATTTAAATTTATCTTCATGAATCTATTACCTGAATTCCAGGCCTTCATGTTCACGGCCACTTTGACGATAGCCCAATGTGAGACAACAGTGACAGCACATGATGTTAAATTTTTTTATAAGCTCTCATACGTCGTACTGATCTTGGGATGCCTGTGATATGAACACTCCAGTTTTGACCGCATTCATGACTCGGGGCTCAAACTTGAAGGAGGATTCTTAAAGCTATGCAGCCACCTTTAACTTTCAACTGCGCAGAATTTCTTTACTAAATGTTTCAAAAGGTTGACTAAAAAAGTTCAAGTGTTTGGAAAATGACCCGGGGCTCAATACAATAAATAATATAAAAATCGGCACACTAAGGTTGCTACTTGACTGTACTGTTCAAAGGTTATTGCCAATACACTGTTAGTTTGCTTACGTTTTTTTAAAAAAAGTTTACTAAAAAAGTTCGAAGAGTTTGAAAACTGACCCTGGGGTCAATGCAATAAATAATATAAAAATCGGTACACTGTTCGGCCAGATTTTGTGGCTCTCTTCACACTGAAATTACTACCGAGTCTAGGCCATTTTGATTCGCAACCTCAGACCACTTGGATGTACAGTCGCCCAGGCAGCTTCTTTCACCACACAACCAGGAACCTCACTAAAAGAGAAATTCTTTACCAACGTTGCTAAAACCACTTTCATCTCCATCATAGCAAACTTGTTACCAATACACATGCGCGGACCACACCCAAACGGAATAAGCGAGAAAGTCTGGATACTAGATTGGACACCTGACGTGGAAAATAGACAAAATTAAAACAACAGAGTTTCCTTATAGACGTAAATGGGTGGTATCGCGATATTAGGGAGTTTAAGCAAAAGAGAAGATGAACCATTTTTATGCTGTAGCTAGAGCTGGAAGATACTTCTCTCCAAAAACGTTTTGCAGCACATCAAGAACTCGTTTTAAACGTGTCTGCACGTCCCAGATCGAACTGGTATATAAAAGTGTTTGCTTTTAAGGTGAGAGGAAAAACCAGAGTACCCGGGGGGAAAGCTCTCGGACTAGAGGAGAGAACCAACAACAAACTCAAACCACATATGGCGGCGACACCGGGACTGAATCTGAGCCACATTGGTGGGAGGCGAGTGCTCTCACCACTGCGCCATCCCTTACTCCCTATTATCCACTCACTGTGATAAAACTTAATACTTTCATTCCCCTGGTGACACCGGGCCATAGTTTATTCGAAAACCTTCTTTAATTTCTTTATAACAAACTCATCCAGTCAAATACAAGTATCATATAAAAGTCTTATGGTCGCTCTCGTATGGTGCCGGGAGTTGAACGGGGTTACGTCACGCAATTTGGTATATTTTTAAAAAGCTTAAACCTTTTTCTCATCAATTAAATTCCAAAACTAATGTTCCAGTTTTGTTAAATACCACTATAATTAAGGCATTGAAACTGTTTCCTGTCGCCTGTCGCAACAGATGGTAAGGATGGACATAGATAACAACAACAAACAACAACAAATTTTATTGAAAATTGGAAAATAACTAATTACATTACTTTCCCACCCGCAAATAGCTTATGAACTAATCGAGGCGGGGGGAGCTGAAGACATATTACAAAACAAGAATTATATATAGATGGACTAAATAACAGTGAAGACACTACAATACAGTAAATAGAGTTTAAACTAACATAAAACAAAAAACAAAAAACAAGGCATGTACATAACGATTACGAAGAGAGGTTAACTAAAGTATTAAATAACTTAATAAGACGGGAGACTTCGACATAATCATCTTCTGACCGCAAAAAATTTAGTAATAATTCCTTTATTTTTTTACGAAAGGACGAACGTTTAAGTATTTTAATCGAATACGGAATAGAGTTCCAAATTTGGGCACCGATTCTCGTGAAAAAGGCATACATTTTATCGGTTCTAGAGAACTTAACATAAAACGAGTCGCTAGAGACAGATCTTGTTCTGTAGTTATGAATCTGACTTGTTTTAACGAACTGATTGAGAATACTAACTGGTGCTGTCTGTCTGTTGATATCATACAATAAATAGCTACAATCTCTGAAAAATATGCTAGGCAGGGGAAGGCAATTTGATTTGAGAAAGAAAGGTACGGCGTGTTCCTTAGACTTACTGAAGTAAATGAGACGTAAGGCCCGTTTTTGTAGAGTTACGATCTTTCGTTGAAATGTCAAGGCACAATTTCCCCAACCACAAATACCATAAGTCAAGTAAGGGACAATTAATGAGTTGTAAACTGAAAGTAAAACACGACGCGGGACATAATGTCGAATTTTAGCTATAATTCCTATCGACTTGCTGATTTTGTGACAGACAGATTCGATGTGGTATTTCCATGAAAGATTTGAATCAATCATTAAGCCAAGGTATTTTACATAATCTTTCATTTCAAGGTTTGCGTAGGTGTTAGTCACGGAGTCAAAAATTCTAATCCTAGGTATGAAGGGCATATTCTTTTGCCGGGGACGAAAGATTACAAAATTTGATTTTTTTATGTTCAAGGACAGTTTGTTGGCCTTTAGCCTTTCGTTGACGTTGCCAAGCTCGCGATTAACAAGTGTTTCGAGTTCCTTTAGGTTGTTATTTGCAAGTATTATACTAGTATCGTCAGCAAATAGATAAAAGGCAAATAACGAAGAGGACTTGTAAATATCATTGATGTACAGTAGGAATAAGAGTGGTCCGAGGACTGAGCCTTGTGGCACGCCGCACAAGGTCGTTTCAGCCTCAGACACAACATTATTAACTTCCGTAGTTTGCTTCCGATCAGTCAGGTATGATCTGAACCAGGAGTTTATTACACCTCTAATACCATAATTTTCAAGTTTAGCTAACAAAATTTCATGGTTAACAGTATCAAAAGCCTTTTTGAGATCGATGAAAACACCGCACGAAAATTTACCGTTGTCCATGTTTTGGAGAATTGTGTTAACAATATCAAGTACAGCATGCTGAGTACTGTGCTTACTGCGAAAACCGTATTGCTGATCATAGAGAATGTTGCAATCTTTGACAAACTTGGTAACTCTGGAGTACATAAGTTTTTCAAAAATCCTGTTATAAATCGAGAGCAGAGAAATAGGTCGGTAGTTTTCGGGCAGCGTGTCATCTTCGTCCTTAAATATCGGGATAATCTTAGCACACTTTAGTTTAGATGGAAAAATCCCTGAGCAAATAGACTGATTAAAAATCGTGGCTAGAGGTACGGATATGACCCTTTTGCTAATTTCAGCAGCCTAACTGGAGATGAGTAGAGACCATGGGCCTTGTTGTCTTGCAAAACTGAAATTTCTAAATTGATATCTTCCGGAATAATAGGATCAAAGAAGAAAGTGCGATTAAGTGGCGGATCTAAATAATCATAGAATGTATTTATGGTCTGAGGAATTTTAAAAGCCAGTTTGCTCCCAACAGTGGCGAAATATTTGTTAAGAATATTGCTTATTTCCTTCGGGTCACTAGTTGGAACCTCATTCGGGTTTGAGCGAATAGAGTTAGTTGAGTTGCGCTTGTTTTTCTTTTTACAGTTTCCAATTAGCTCGTTACTTCCTTTCCAAGTTTGACGCATATTACATATGTTGAGATCAAAGAAACTTTGGTAGTAGTTCGCTTTACTTAATCTCGTAAGATAAATGATTTTATTTCTGTAAAATTTGTATTTGTCACGGTCTGAGGTATAGAAGAGGTTATTCTTTACCCTGATTGATTTTCTTAAACCCGCCGTCAGCCATGGTTTAGCAAGGAATTTTTGTTTACGATTGGATATACTTCTTAAAGGAGCGTGTTTGTTAATTGTCTTGTTGACGCATTTGTAAAACCTGGAAAACGATTGATTGGCATCGATATGTTTGCAAATATTATTCCAATTAATATTCTGCAAGTCGTCAATGAAAGACTTTGCATTGAAGGTAGAATAGTCACGAACCTTAGTTTTGTTGTTTGGAAAGAATGGTTTACAGTGCGACGATAATATGCACATCTGAGAGAAGTGATCTGTTGTATCGGACACGATATTGCCGCTGACTATATTATTCTCAGGATTATTTATGAAAATATTGTCAATTAAAGTTGCTGAATTACCATAGACTCTAGTCGGCTTATCAACCACTGGGAACATTGAAAAACTTTGCATTGTTTGGAGCAAGGTTTGTGTGTAACTACAAGTTTCATATTTTAACAGATCTATGTTGAAGTCTCCCATGAGATAAATATTTTGATTTTGACGGCATTGGCGTTCAAGAAAATCTGTCAAGTATTCTAGAAACTCATTAGCGTTATTGTGTTGCCTATAAGTAACACCACATACAGATTTCTTATTGTTAGGCAGATGAAGTTCAATCCATAGGGCTTGATAGCAAGAATTGGAGACTCGTTCAAGGACGCGGTATTTACAATTTTGATCAATGAACAGGCCAACACCACCGGCAGATAAAGGTGTTGGGACCGATTCAAAACAGTATCCTGGTAATTCTGGTACAAAATTAAAACTACATTCACGATCGCATATACGAGTTTCTGTAACACCAATAATAGTAAAACGGAAATTCATTTCACTTAAAACATGATGTTGAAATTCTTCAAAATTTTTCTTTAAGCTACGTATATTTGTATGTAAAAAGGAGATTTTTGATTGCAACTGTTTGCTGTCAACAAACTGCGCAAAGCTGTGTGGGGAATAATATTTTGAGCGTATTTTGTTTGCGGTGAGATTTATATCAGGATCAATATGTTTATCAAGAGAGTTTAGCTGGAATACACTAAGGTCGTAGAGACTACTGAGAGAATCTAGCAATTTTCTAGAAGGTCGATTATCATCAATTAAACTATTAAACTGTGGGTGGGCAGAAGTCAGGACTTTACAGTTATAATATGGTAATTGCGCGAGTAAGGTCTTATTCTCGATCGCGCACTGTTTCTTTGTTTTGTGAGAAGTAATTTTTTATCGTGTACAATAGACATTTTTAGTAAAATCTAACCTTCAATGGCCAATTTACGTTTAAGTTCGTCGAGGTCCGCCATGCTCTTGAGCTTGATTATCCGCGATGTGGAGTCTTTTCGTAAACAAATAACGGGGCCCTTTGACCAGCAATATTGATAGTGGAGCTCTTCTTTAACTTTTTTAGCCTGGAATAGGACTGCTTGCATTCTTGGTGAAAGATGATCGTAAATTCTGGCCGAAGACAATGAAGACCCTTCTGGTAGACCAACCGCAGCTGGGGTTACATTGCTAATTTCTTTCCGATGAGACATTAGAGATTCCTTAACCAGCCGTCTCACGAATCTGCAGACTATAGGCTTTGGATTTCCGGCGTTGTTTCTTTGCGGGACACGATGGGCAGTGTCAATATCTTGGATTGATATATTTTCTCCCATTTCTTTAAACAATTTTACACAAAGCTTACTTGTTGTTGAAGCCGCTTCGTCAGAACACACCTCGGGAACACCGACAATTTTAACATTGTATTGAAAGCTATATTCTTGGAATTCATCGATGGCGTTTGCAATGGCGTCCACCCTGGCCTTGACCTGTGAGAGTTGTGAACTTAGTCGTTGCAGCTCTTTGTTGGCAGTGGCTTTGAAGAGAAGAAAGTCATCATATTCCTTGCTTAGGAATTCAAGGCTGTGAGATTTTTCTTTAGCAGAAGGGGCGGCACTGCTGCTTTGTTGTTGAAATAAATCTTTTAGTCTTGAAATCTCCTCCGTTAACGTTGAAACTTTAGATTTGAGATCGTTATTTTCTCTCTTTAGGTTGGCAATAGACTCAGGCATAATGTGACACACGAAACAAGATAACAAAACAAATAGAAAAAAGCAGAAGGAACACTTAAACATCAGAAATTTACGAAATGTTACGCGGAGCACTTAAACACGCGGCCGTCCATCTTGACCACATCACATAGATTGAAACTTGAAACAGTTGGGTCAACTTCTAATAGACCTTGTCACGGTTTTCGATGCCATCTTGACGAGTAGGCAAACGCGTGAGAAATTACAGTGATTGTATGAGAATCTAATGTCGAATAATTTCCGTAGAACGGCTGATCTGAAAAAAATATGATTTGTAAACTAAAGCTTCACTCCTAAGGATTCTCCTGAAAAATTTGAGGGCGTTACATGTACTACAAGATCTAGAACCACTTTTTAAAATTGTTTATACATTTGTCTGTAAGAAAGTCCCAGGCAAATTACAGACAAATGTATGGAAAATCTAAAGAAAGCCTCTGGAAAAATCTAAGCACAGGTACGCTCCCAAATTTTTTTAGGACAATCCTTTGCTTTGCAGCTTTAGTTTACGATTGATAGTTTGTTCAGAACAGCCGTTTTACGGAAATTATTCGACATTAGATTCTCATACAAACAGTGTAATTTCTAACGCTTTTGCCTACTCGTCAAGATGGCGTCGAAAACCGTGACAAGGTCTATACTATGCCTGCAAAAAATCACCATTATGACTAGTGCTTTCTGATGAAATTTGCTTGATATCTTCTTCATAATTCTACAGGAGTATCAGCCTAGTCCCTAGGAGTTCTCTCTTGACCCGTTGTCCGCGCGAAGTCTGGGAAAGACTCTCGGTGACGTCACAGCTCACGGTAGAGTCCAGGATTGACCGCGCCGAGAACGCCTAGGGACTAGGCTGCAGGAGTATGTTGTGTTTAATGTTGTGTATGGGTAAAGGCACTAAGTTATGACTTCAGAACAGAATTGACCTAAAACAGTAATATCCTCGTGACATAGCCCCTCTTGAAAAGCGAAGCTAGTAAGGGTAGGAAACAAGCTACTTTACTTACACTACATAATGAACAAACCTGGAGAGTAAATGCACTGACACGTAGCATTCACTCCAAAAGCACTCTTCAGTACTATCATAAGCCATCACAGTACAAAGAATTCAGTAACGGGGTGTAGAGAATGGGGGATATAGTTACTGTAAAACGTTACTTCTGACTGAATAAAGCTGGACCGGCTATCATGATCAATTTTGCTATGACCTATGCCACTGATATTAATATATAAAGGAAAATAAAGGGAGATGCAAAAAATCAACCATAAGAGGACATAGAAAAAATCTGAGCCGCAGATGGGATACGAACCCACGAACCTCCGTGTTCTAGACGGGATGCTCTAACCTCTGAGCTACTGAGGACTCGTTGGCGAGCAAGGGTCATTTTTGTGGGTTGGACTTGCGTACCGCATCTCGCAGTCACACAGTCCATCACAGGCAACACATAAGGCTTAACTGTATCACACAGTCACATTAATAGTAAGAAATGTCTCACTAAGGAGCCTCCAACCAACCAACCTATGCCACTGATATTAATATATAAAGGAAAATAAAGGAAAATAAAGGGTCGTGGGTTCGAATCCCATCTGGGGCTCAGATTTTTTCTGTGTCCTCATATGGTTGATTCTTTACATCTCGCTTTATTTTCCTTTAAATTTTGCTATGATCATGACAATGAATGTGTGCTTTACGCTGAATGCGATTCTACCCTTAAAGCGCAGCAAAGCTTTAGTGAAATTATTTTAGAATGAAAGCTTCTGTTGGTAAAAAAAATCATACACTGAACATCTTCCAGCTCCGCCGAATGGAAACTTGTGGTTCCATGCTGAACGTTTCAAATCAAACTATTACTCACCTCCTTGTTCAAATCGTCCTGGATCAAATATGTCCGGGTCTGACCAGAATTGAGATGAACGCCCAATCGCATCAATGGGAAATAGAATTTGTGTTCCTTTGGGTATAAAATACCCTGCTATTTCAACATCTGATATGGAGACGCGATTTGTGACAGGAGCAGGTGAGTGTAAGCGCAGAGACTCTTTCAGAACATTTTCCAAGAACTGTAACTTCTCGAGTTTTTCCCATGTAATTTTGTCATCATCTAGGAATACTGCCTTAACCTCTGATCTTAGCCGTTCTTGAATGTGTGGGTTTTTGGCAAGTTCATACAGTGTCCAAGCCATGGCCACGCTAGTTGTGTCATTTCCCGCTAAAAGAAAAGTGAAAACCTGCCAAAATAAATCATCAAGCTAAGTAATTAGACAAAAGGCTGAAATAAAAGGCCCTAAAATCGCTCTGACAAAGGCCTATTGCTCGAAACACCAGGTTTTCTTTTTTTTTTTTTACGGTGGCAAAAAATGACTTTATCAACTTAAAAAACCAAATCTTTATGTTTCACCCCCTTACCGAAGCAACTCGGTACCACAGTTAAGTTTCTTTCAAAGCTACTGCATGATATCCCTCCATGACCTAATAGAATTTGCCAACAAAACAAAACGAAACCAAAAAATAAGAAAAAGGTCTTCTTTCTTTCAAAAGCTCTAGAAGCGCTTTCCGATTTACAAAAAAGTAATAACAATAATCCTGGAGATATGAAAAGGTTATTATAAAAGTACTCTGAAATTTTTTGACCTAGAACCCAGTCACTACTTGTTCGTTGGAGATTCAGAAAAATACCCATTGCTTATAGCGTTATTAGAGTTTTTTATTCCACATTATCACCTATTCGTAAAGTCATTATACTTCCATGTATATATACCTGGGCCCTTAATTCTTCATCGTCCATTTTTGAGTCAGTTTCTTCATCATGCATGTCCATTAACAAGTCAAGAAGATCTTTCTTTAATGGTGCATAATTTCCTTCTCTTTTCTGTTTGCGCCGGTCTAGGATAACCTGTTTAATTGGAGTTCAGGGATTAGTTTGTAAAACACTAACAGTGCTGCGTCGTTGGGGCAGAGAATCTAAAAATCACTGAAGTATCGAGAAGTAAACAGGCCAACGGATTTTGTTCCTATGGGCTAACTTCTTCCTGGAAAGAAGAGAGTCCGGAAGAGTCCATTGGAACGAGGTTGAGGCTTCTCTCTTGCGAAACAACTGCAATAGTTGACCTGTTGATGGTCCATTCATGACCATTCACGAGCGTAGCTAGGAAAATTTCAAATTCTCCTGCGGTTTTTTTTTCAAAAGCAAGTACAAAGCAGTTTGAAGGAGAATATAGCAATTTATCATGAGTGAATTAAGGCTTATTTCTGCACACTTGGACTGATACCGAATAGAAGTTAACAGGCCATTTCCAAGTTACAAAATCTCACTTTCAAATTGAGGCTAAGTGCAAAACCTTTGTTGAAAAGGAGCTTTATTTGCATGAAAATAAAAAATCATATTCATATTAATGGTTTCTCACTTTGAACTGAGACAACGACGGAAATGGCGCCCCTTTCATTAATTCAATCCACATATCATTATTAGTAATCCGTTTAACTAGACTATGTACCTCCATTACAATGTTATCAGAGATTTCCCTCGCTGACTGAATTCTCCTGTTTTCTTTTAAGGGCAGGTAATCAAAGAATGGAATCATCAACTTCAGGACCAAATACTTGAATTCAAATCCTTGAATTACAGTGTTGAAAGCTTCAGAAATCTTGCTGTCCCCTCCAAGTACAGAGTTGAATTTGTAGCTGAAAGCACTTTCTCCAATCACATCAAGAGTAAGATGGCTTAGCTCTTTAATAACTTCTGTTTCCATGAATCCCTCTGGTGATTTCAAATCTTTTAACTGGCCAGACCAAAGCTGAGTATCACAGTAAAAAACATAAATTTTCTCAAATTGAAGACTTGAGATCCATAACTTGTTTTTAATCAACTCTAATTAAGTTAAAGGAATTAACAGAATTAACTACGACAATATTTTATTTTACTGCTCTCCCCCAATTCCAAGCATCTAAAAATAATAAAACTTTTTTTGTATTTTATTGATGTTTATCGCAAATTCTTACAAGGAATTTAAACACGTTAACTCTACTACATTAACTATACACATTAACAATACTCAAAAGGGTAAAGAAAGGAGAAGGAAAACCAAAAAATAATAAAACAAAATAATTTCACAATTCACAGACTAATGCTAATACCAGTAAAAAGAAAAAAACTACTCACTCCAGACAATTTATAAAACTGGTAATATTCCAAAGGTTAGCAGGTACGGGAAAATTTCAGGCTTCTGACTGAAGGTCAAAACACTCTTGCTCCATTGTTGGTGTGCCTTTTGCATAGGTTTCCATGTGAATCGATAGAAGGTCCAGTGCACACGATCAGATTACGAGTGATCACTGGACGGCACAAATGTGTGTAATCAGACTTCGTTCTATGCATTCCATTCATTTTTAGTGAATCCACATGAACGATAGCTACTTACATACCAAGCATGCATAATAGCAGATGGAGATTAGGATTACAGGCTCCTCTTGTTGCCCCCAATAAACAAGGTTATCTTTGCTAAAACTTGTTTTTTTATATATATATATAATTGCTTGATTACCTGTAGAAGCTTCTCTGCATTTTCCTTGAAAACATCCAGAAATCCTCTCAAATTTGAAGAGTTAAACGCAGGGCCAATCATTCTTCTTTGACGTGCATGTACTCTTCCATTAACTGCAAACAACGCTTTTTCTATACTAGGAATGACCTTAGTTACAAAGTCAGAACGGGCAAACTTTTGACAGTTTGTAACAGCTACAGATCTGATAATCTCTGGATCAACAATCATGACTCGATAGCCACCTAAACAACACACAAAAATAGCAAAAAAAGAAAAAGCAAAATCATGGTGGTTTTTACAGAATAACACAGGTACTGTAATATTAGAAAACAACAAAAAAAATCATTACTATACATTTTTGTTCTTTAAACTATCATGATAAAGAAACGATGTATAAAGTATGTCAAACACCCTTAAACATAACAGAGTGCACTGGTACCAAAGGCATGGAGCCAGGTCACTACAATCCATGGAGCAAAGGACACGCATAACTTTAAATAGTACATAACAAAAAGGGAAGGGTGGCCGGGGGAGTGGGGTGGGGGTGAGAGTGATATGGAAAAGAAGCAGGAAATACCGGCCCTTCCTTCCCAGTCCCCTCTCTATTTCATTTTAAAATTGTTCCTTCTTCTCCTCTGTTTTTTGCATGCGTAAGGCCCTGTTAAGAAAAAACTCTTACAAGTGACAATTGGCCTTAAAACACCGACACAAGATGAAATGGTGACAAACAACATAAAGATGGGTTAAAACCCAACAGAGACATGGCTATACTTCTCAAAACACGAAAAGTCTGAATTTGAAATTCACACTAGGGAAGTATGTATCCCCCCTAAGAGCACCTTATGGGTGCAAGCAGGAGTCAAGTTAGTTACTTGACTGACAGTCACTGATAGGAATTTGAGTAACACTATTAACGGAGTGAAACATGAAGGTCCTTAGGGTTACCCTGAGCACAATTTTTGCTCTCATAAATTTGAAGACAGTATAAGCATTGAGGTTTCATTATTTTACTCTTTTGCTTTTTTTTCGTCATTTATTTTATGCCCATAGCCTTCCCCCCTCACCTGTACCTGTCACCTCAGAAGAGTGGTGCCAGCTGGGATCTGAATCCCTAACCTTCCTACGGTTGAACAGGCTTCTGTTGTTCAAATGCTGGATAGTGCTATCCACCGGATAAATCACTATCCAGTAGATAAGTATTTAGGAAACCAATTGCGTTTTTTAGTGGATAGAGATTTATCCAGTGCATAGTGTTATCCAGCTTTGGGACAACTGGGGCCAGATGTATCACTATCTAGTAGATAGGAACAGTGTGAGGGAAACCTTATTGCAATATCCAATGGATAGAGATTTATCCAGCAGATAACATTATCCCGTTTTTGAACAACTGGGGCCAGAGTTATGGAAGAAAATAATGGGAGACAAGTTAATGAGACAAGGCTCACAATGGGCATGCATCCTGCATGCAGTTTAATTGCAACAACACCCCACTACCCCCTGTGGACCACCCTTTATTTTATGAAGATAAATTTTACCAGAGGTCTAAATAAGTGTTTAGGAACCTTAAATGAACAAATTAACTTCCATCAGTTTACATTATCATTGGGTTATGGGCTCCTCATATTATATACTGTTCAAATTTTTTTAAATTCCATACATGGATTGACAAGTTAAGTCTGGTGAAGTAGTAACATTCTTTGAAGAGGATGGGAGGAGGGGTATGACGGAAGCAGTCTCCTACGTCAACGAGTTTTTGCGTTGTTGCTTTTGTGTACCCTCCCAAGTCTTCGCTTCCTTTGATAGCCCATGGAAACGTTTATTCATCTGCACACCTTTAGAATCCTGCTTATGCATCAAGCAAAAAATTACCTGCATTTACAGTTATTTTGAGAAAGGTTGTCGGAAAAGGTGCATGCGACAATCCTGAAAGGCATTGTAGGTGGTTTTAAGTTCACTGTTCTTTAAAGAAATTTGAAAGAATTAGTACGAAAGGCCGTGGAAATGTGTTTGCGAGTGCTAAAGGAAAGCAACAAAAGTAGGTTCGACAGTTACGGTCGTCAGAAACAGTGTATTGATCATATCCCATACTACCTTTCTGGATTGTTGTGTGCACATTTTTCCGACAAACTTTCTCGAAATAGCTGTAACTGTTATGTCTGCAAAGCTTGTCAGACGTCTGACCAACCACCACATTGTTTGAAAATATGCTGGCCATTTTGTGCTTGATCCACACAAAAAGCAGGATTCAATAAGTTTGCTGATCAATAAACATTTCCAAGGGCTATCAAGGTAAGGAAAGCTTGGGGAGTGTACTCTAATTCTACTTTTAATACTTTCATTGTTAGCAAGAGTGAGTACAAATAAAGACTGTATTAGACATTATTAGACATGTATTTCCTCCCTAGTCTCCAACGCAGCCGTATTGTGTCATCATGTAACATGATCACTGACACAAAAAAAGCTGTGTGGGAAGACTACTTCCTCCCTGCCTCTCCTCATGTTCCCGTCAAATATTGTTGCTCCTTCACCAGACTAAACCAAACTAATTTTATGAACAATGAACAAGTGTATAATATGGGGAGTCCATAATCCTGTGGTAATACCTATAATTTATTGACAAAGTTTCTTGACTATTCAAGGTTCTTAAGATTCGTTTTAAAGACCTCTAGCAAAATTCATCTTCAAAAATAAGGGTGGTCCATAGAGGTAGTTCATGCCCAGGTCCACAAAGGGATCCATGGACTACAATCATGGACAAAAGTGTTGGAACACTTTTGCATTTCTGGGGCATTTTCCAATTCACACAGGCCCAGCCCCTCCCCTCACCCCACAAACAATGTTGGATGCGTGTATCTAGAATGTTTTCAGAGTTTCAACTTTGTATAGGGTGGGGGGAGGGAGAACTGCAAGAAAATTTTGAAAAGGATGCATTGTTTTAAGAGGGAACCGAGAAATAACAGAAATATATGAATATTGCAGCACTGTCCCAAGGACTTTTGTCCAGGATTGTAGGTCCGCAGGGGTGGTCCATGGACCGGGGGAGCCTGTCCATGTGAATAAGGGACTGGTCATTATTTATCCGGGGGGGGGGGGGGGCTGGCGGAATGTAAAATATGCCATGCTTGATTTTTGCTGACCCCCCCCTTTTACTTTAACATAATTTTTGCTGACCCCCCCATCTCCCCTTGACCTCCGACATTCATGAAACAAAAAGTATGTATTTATCAAGTCACCATGTCCAACTGATAGACATTCTATTTAAAGTCACCTTAAATTGGATTTGAGTTGCTCTTCTCCCAGACTGTGTGTAGACAATTGTCGTATTGACATTAAAGTTCTCGGTACTCTCAATCACTTTTTCTTCTTCAGTCGACTCCTCTTCCTCTTCTTTGTACTCATTTCTCCAAAGCAGGGAAACTGCTTCCAGGGCACAACCCCCCAAAAACATTTGATGAAAAACTTATTGGCAAACTTATAAAAGTTAAAGAAAGGGTGATAGAAATAGAAGAAAGCCTTAAGGAAAAGTTAGAGAAGACATCAAAACTAATATGTTCCAATATGCCCCCCATGTGAATGCAAAAACCAAAAAGCGTTCTCAGAAAGAGAACTAAAGGAAAGCCAAAAGAAGGAAAGTTTCGAGGAAAGCTGCCAACACACAGAAAGTGCGAGAGTTTATTTTCGAATGCTTCTGCATCTGAAGTAATTCAAATCTAAAACCTAAAATTGGAAGTTCTATCTACATTATCATTGTGTCAAGTAAAATATCTACAACTTATGTATGAAGAAAGACAACTATCTACTGAAGCTGTAAACTTGATTAGTGAATATGTAGACAATTTTCCAAGAAACGAAAACACAAACCTAGAACCAGATAATGCCCATGATGATGACAGTAATAATGATGATGATGATGATGATGATGATGATGATGATAATGATGATGATGATGATAAAGACAACAATGATATTGATGATGATGCAGACAATGATGACAACGGTGATGATGACAACAATGGTAATGGTGATGATGACAATGATGATGATTATTAAATGCGGAGGACAACAACAATGATGATGATGGTGCTGGTTATGTTTACAGTAGAAATAAGATCAATGCTGTAAGATGCTGATTTGTAAGTGTTAATAAAAGGTGTTGTATAAAGCTATTTTAATAGGCTGTATTTGTTGATGGCATCCAGATGCAGCTTTTAACATTTTTGCTGGCAAAACGTTTGCATATTTTTTAAAGGCCCCCCCTTTAAGCCATGTATAAACAATGGTGGCCCACCCTCTATTTGCACCAGCCCCCCCCCCGATAAATAATGACCAGTCCCTAATTTTATGAAAAGTCAAAAGGCAAACTCCCTTGAAAATGTCGAACTGGGTAAACATTAACATACAAGCTTAAAAGGCCTTTTTAACACGAGTATTAAAGTTGTCATTCATTATTAGTGTTTGTAATATTATTTCTACTTCTGGCTCACCAATCCCTATTCCCAATCCGGGGTGAATAACAAACATGGGAGCATACTGGTTAGTCCACGATCGCAGCGCTTGAAGGAAATTGTCACGCCGCAGAACTTCGAAAACATGGCCAATCAAAGGCAAGGCACCTGGTGGACTAGGTATCTTTTGTAAAGGAGACAATCGTTCTTCTACAAACTTGAACACGAGCCAGAAGACTGGTAGCAAAAATGTCGACAGGAGTAAGAATTTGAGGCTGCAAAAGTCGTTTAAGGTCCCTAAGGCGTCAATGATCATTTTTCCAAACTAAGGCAATCTAACCACCGGGTATAACCACTTGTCAGAAAAGCCAGGAAAAGATCCAAGCTTATAGTGGAATTACCAGTTGTTTGTACCGCTTTATAGGCTGCATTACGTACGCGTTTCTGATGCAACTCCAATCATTTTTTCCAGGCTGATGCAACATGAAAACCTTCAAGGGAATAAAAATTGGCCTTTTTGTAATTCCTCGGGTTTTCATCGCTGATGCAACTTGATGAAACTCCGCTTGTTGTTGCTTCACCCAGCTGCCGAAATTACTTCGATTCAGAAAGACTGGGAAAGAATGTGGGAAAAACGTCAGGATAGGGGTAGGGTTAAGAGCAAGGTTGGGAGTAGGGGGCTTTTTGCTGATTCTTTTGTATCATTATTTTTGACACTCACCATTATAACATTTATTATAAAAAACGTGGTTGATTCGTACTTCAATCCGGAGTTCAGTTTGACAAAATATTATATTATTCTACAGGTATCTCACAAATCCCCGCACAAATCGCTCTTTTAGTCTACCACCCCACCCACGAAAAGAACAGCGACGAGGTCCGCGCAAAGAAAATGGCGGCAGAGTTTGCGTGACTTTTCTCACATTCAAACATTTGCGTTGTTTTCTTGTCCCTGGAATCATTTTTTAGACATCTGAAATGTTCTTGCTCATTTTAGTTGTTCTTGGTATCATATGGGTTCTGTACAGGACATTTAAGGATGAGTTTTCGCCATTGCGAAAAATTCCTTATGCTAGTAGTCATGTTCCAATTTTGGGTCATGCATTGGTTTTTCTTAGAGAGAGAAACCATTTGAAGGTACTAAGGGACTGGAGTGAGAAGCATGGACCGATTTTTCGCTACAATCGTGGTTTTGGTAAGCTCAATCAGCTGCTCAGTATTCCAACTTATAATGCGGCATAGTTTTGTTGTTTTACTACACACACTCTTAAACTGTATTTTTTAGCCGAGAAATGGGGAAGAGGCGACTGACATTCCCGGGGGTGGGAAATTTGACCTTTTCTAGGGTGCCTAGTTTAATTTCTTCTTACGATCTTTCCTTTTTTCCAGCTGCATCCGTGATGTTCGAAAATCCTAGGAGAGGCAGGCAAGCAAGAAATTTTACAACAAATGTGCATGTTCCGAAAATTCTAGATCTCAAATCGTCTTCCGAACAGATATTTTCCGTAAACTGTCGTTGGGTGCCCTTGATTAATTAAAATTGGTAGTTTCTGGTAAAATCTTCTCTCAAGTTAGATCTAACTGGTACAATTGTTACAATCAGTCTACGCCCAATTTCAGGATAAAAGGGCTGAAGGAATTAAGGATTTGCAGCTGTTTTCTGAATTTGTGGTGTTGACCTACCCTAAATGAGCAGAATTTATGGCTGCAGTTACACTCAATTTCAATTCACACTTGGTACTAATGTACTTTTGTTTATTTAAATGACCCTCATGTAACACTCCCTTATCTGAAATTTACCCCCCAAAACCAATCAAGATTTTGAAAATGACCCCCTAGCAAAATAACAGCCCCCTCTCACAGGTAATAATTAAATGACCAGCCCCTTAAGATATTTACAAGAGTATTAATATTGATTATATCTTCCTTTCTTATCTTTTTTTGTGGACAGGGGACACCAGAGTCTTTTTGGCAGACCCTGATCTTATAAAACATGTTACTGTTACAAATTCCAAGAACTATCTGCGTTCACCATTTATACGCAAAGTTATGCCCAGCATTGGAAATGGTTTGTTTTCTTCCAATGGCAAGGACCACAATCTTCAGCGCAAAATGATCATCCCAGTGTTTCATTACAGCAACTTAGGTCGGATGGTGAATGATTTTTGTGAAGTTTCAAAAAGTCTGGTCACTGTGAGTATTTCTGTTTTAATCATGAATAAGATATTAAATTATATTAAGTCATGGGAAGAAAGTTTTTAAAACCCCCTTCTCCTTCCCCCTTATTCTTCAAGACCAAATACAGTAAAACCCTACGTATAAGAACCTAAAATTTAAGAACCCGTCAGGCTGAAATTTTCATTTTAAGCAGGTCACATAAGAACCATTTCAGGCTGAAATTTCAAGGGAGGTTCTTAATTTCCAAAGTACAATAGAAATCAATATCATGTGCATAACTTAGCAAAAAAAAATTTTGTATGATTTATGTGCCTTTATAATGTTTGCACTCTACTATATTCCATGTAACTAGGATCAAAATGTGTGAATAATTTAATAAAAAGGCCACGCCCACCAATACAATTTATAATGTTTTTTTCTTACCAAAAATTAAGAATCCATTTAAGAACCTAGATAGCCTGATTTCAAGTTAAGCACCATTTATATAAGAACCTGTTGAGGCTGATGTGGAAAAATCTAGGTTCTTATCTGTGGGGGTTAAGTGTATAATAGACCATATTAATTAATTACAATTGTAATCATGTGATATGATCTGGTATTATTTATTCACCACCTGGAATTTTGTAATTTTTTTTTTATATTTGACTGTTTGACCCATCTTCATGTACGTGCTTGACCTTTTCCCATTGGCCTTAAAAACACGGGATTACATAGATCTATACTGTCTTGTTTTTATGTACCCATATATTTTTAAGATCATGTTCACTGGCCTTCTAGTTCTTTAGAAGAAATCGATACCATCATCTGGATGTTTTAAAAAGCAGAAAAGCACCGCGTTTCACTAAAAATGAAAGAGGACTCCCTCCCTATTGAGTCCCCCCTGCCCCACACTCAAACATGCATGGAATAAGTGGAGGGCTTAAAGGGGCTGTGTCACGGCAGTCCAGTTCATTTTGTTTATTTTTGCCAGTTACTCGCCCTCAGTTGCTACGGAACTTAAAGTAAGCAAAGAAATTACTTGTAAATGACACAAGCAGAGATTCGAGACAAACAAATATGTCTCCTGAGCATTATTTTTGAAGTTGCAAACGGCAGAGATCAACTTTGAAAAACTGTTAGGCTGAACAGCTTTCAAAAATCCTAATTTCAATCCGTTTCCATCTTCTTCAGTTTTACCCATCCGTGGCATCTGTTGTATTTGTTGTGTTATTTTAACCTTCCTTTAATGCTTTAAGAGATTATTTTCACGTTTTTCTTAATTCAACGAGCATTTTGTAATTACATAATTTGGCTGAATTTCGTGCCACAGCTCCTTTAACAGAGGATGTACAGTATCTAATTCTTCCCAGCTGAAATGGTGCAGTTTTAATTTGATAATTTTTTTATATACATGTCTGCAGCTGTGGACAGATAAACTTTCAGATTCATCTGAAGGATCCTCAGAGGTATCTATCCAAACAGATCTTGCTCATCTGGCACTTGACATTATAGGAAGATGTGCTTTTGGTTTTAACTTCAATACGGTGCTTTCTGGTGAAAGTGAAATCTCAAGAGCTTTTTCAGTGGTTATAAAAGGAGTGAACTTTGGCCGGTTGATGAAAAAGAGGCTCATTCCATTTTATAATTCTCTCCCACTGGATGACAATATAAAGGAACAGAAATCTTTTGAAAAGACTGATGAAACTGTTCTTAAGGTAAATAATACAACAGTTTTTTTCTATCATTTTAATTTTACCATCATAATTTTATCTTTGTTTTTCCTGCTAGCAGTCAGCTCTCTCACACAGAGAACAAAATGATAGGAAAGCGAGAGAACTCTTCCACCGCTCGTCGCATTTTACTATCATGCGTACACTAGTGTTTCCTTAATGACCAGTAGCATTTTATTCACGTGTGCAGCACAACGTAACTACAAAGTACTGTCAACTACTCTCCCGGATAATCCGGGAGACTTCAGATTTTGGACCGTATCTCCCAGTCTCCAGATTAGAGTCTAAAATCTCCTGGGTAATCGCCAAAGTTGCCATTTCTTGTAGACTTGACTTTCCGACAATGAAATTTCCCAGTTTGATTGAGTTATTTTACTGTTAACATCTAATGTCTCCTCATAAACTCCCGTATGCCATTGTAAAAAGAAAACCAATCAGGACAAATGTTACAATGGTAATGACATATTTTTTGTGCATTTTGTGTCACTGCAAATATTTGTGACTATCAGAGTCAACGAGAATTTTTTTGTGCAAATGACGTCATGTACCGTGTGTTATGATGTCTTCTATCTTTTGTTCCCTATCAATTCTCAATATCAGAAAACATGGGTTGCTAACAGCCCTGATTACAGAACCGGTTTGCGCGATAACAACCATGGGCTCAGAAAAAATCTGAGTACTCCCGAAAAGAGTGAAACCGATGACGTTCTGGTTACTAGTCCTGATACTCTACCACTGAGCTACAGGATACTCGAGGGATTTAAGGCCATTAGACTACAATGATGGACAAAAGTGTTGTTGAGACACTTCTATGAAATGGCCCCTTTGACACAGTTTCGTCCTTTTAAGTTTCCTAAAATTCGTTTAGACCTGTGATAAAAATCCATCTTTAAAAATTAGGGGTGGTCCACAAAGAGGTCCATGGACTAGGTCCATAGAGGTACCTCCACTAAAGAGTTATAAATGAGTAAACTTATCATAAACAATTGATTCAGCTTGCTTGCATTGGAAACTATGATTTTCACTTCTGCCGAATCTCATTGGGAAAAGGAGAAAGAGAGGAGGCTAATTTGGCACAATTTCGGTGGCGTTTCACGTTTGAAACTCGACTTGGCGGGTGCCAATGAAGTATAATTCGAAAGTAAACGGAAAAGCAAGTAAAGACTTATGCAGATAACGCCAGTCACTAGCCGTTCGCAAGTTTTTCATTCGAGGCCCAGTTTTCAATGCATTATTCAGGATTACTGGGTTTTGAACCTTGAAGGCAATGAAAGACCATGAAATCGATAATGTTGATAAAATCGATAAAATCAATAGCGCTGACAACGAAAAAAGTTGTTACGATCGATTTTTATGGATACAATTGATATGAATGAAAACGTGATTATCGACAATTATCGATTTATCGATTGGTTTTCTGACCTAGCCGCGGCCTAGCTTTAAGAAAAAGACGTTAGAGTTTTTAGTAAAATAATCCGGAATTATTTAGTATTATAGTATTTATTTAGTATTATGATTTATTTAGTATTATGATTTATTTAGTATTATGATTGACAATCATGAAGTCAGATCCACTGAATGTCTCAAGCTATTAGGTGTCTGTATTGATAACAATCTTCGTTTTGATGAACATATAAGTAGTATCTCTAAGAAGAGCGCCCAGCGGGTAGGCGTTCTCATGAGGCTCAGGAACCTTATACCCACACAAACTAAGTTACAGTTATATAAGGCAGCTGTTCTTCCGTATTTAACCTACTGTCACCTTATATGACATTTTTGCCGTGCTAGTGATTCTAGACGACTAGAGCGTATCCAGGAAAGAGCACTTAGGGCTATATATTGAGATAAACATTCGTCCTATGGTCAATTACTATCTATGGCTGGGCTATCGACTCTACACAACCGGCGACTACAGGACATAGCTATTCTCATGTATAAAGTTAAAAACAACATGTGCCCAACCTACATTAGCACTCTCTTTGAACAGCCTGCAATTAAGTATGAACTGCGCAATCATGACTTCACTATACCCAGATTCAACACAGTCTCCTTTGGAAAGCACTCGCTCAGGTATATGGGCCCAAGGGTATGGAGTTCTGTTCCTAGTAACGTGAAAAAAGCTTCCACGTTGTCCTCCTTCAAATATAACATAAGAAAAGTGGATCTTAGCATGCTATTAGCTGACAATAACTGCTCTAACTGCTCTCTTTGCACTTCTTAATCTTTTATTTCTTATTTTTTATAAGATAATGGATACATTTGTACATATTGTATATAGTTCTCTCGAATTTCTCACTTGCTTATACTGTACATAGTTTTTCTTAATTTTAATTAATTTATTAATTGATTTATTTTTTAAATTTATTTTAGTGTCCCCACTTAGTGGTTATACACCGCTATTACAGTCTTGACACTTTAATAAAGGTATCATCATCATCATCATCAATCAGCCAAGCCGCACGCGCGCAGCACTTCTGTTATTTGTAAAATATATTTACATTCGGGTGGCCTCTCTTAAAAGCGGCGGGTGGTTCCTTGAGGTCCCCTGTCCTAAACAAATTTATCTGTAAACCTATTGCACTGTTTTGAAACAAGGCAAAAAACTGATGATGATGATGAAATATTATGCCTCTATTAAGATTATCAGAGAAAGACGCAAAAGAAGAGAAGAAGGGAAGGCCGATTCCAAAGGGGATTTGCTGGGCTTATTGATGGACCAAAGGGACGAGGAAACCAGTGAAGCCATGGATGATGAACTTCTTCGAGCTCAGGTGTTCACCTTTATGTTAGCTGGTCATGAAACTACAAGCGTCTCCTTGACGTGGACACTGTATGAGCTGGCTAGACACCCCGAGATGGCTGAAGAGATCAGACGAGAATCTCAAAGGGTGATACCAAATTTGTCAGACCTGAGCTGGGAAAAACTGGCTGAGATGAAGTTTTTGGGAAATGTCATCAAAGAGTCGTTAAGACGCCATTCTCCAGCAGCTATGGTATTTCGAGTCGCCAAAGAAAATGACGTCATTGGAGGGTATGAGATTCCCAAGGGGACTTTTGTGGGGCTAGGAGTTGATGTTGTTCACAATTCACCAAAGTTCTGGAAAGATCCACACGCCTTTGATCCAAATAGATTTGATGAGAAAGGTAAATTTGTCTTCACTTTATCTTAAGTGTTCAGAAAAGCCTTTAGGCCTTTGCGACTTATTATAAAAACAGACTGATACAAAAATGTCTTCTATAAAAATGTTAGGAGGGTACTTTTTCGGAGTAACGTGCTTGTGTGTATTGATACTCCACAGTGCACTTAATTAAAAAATGACTGCCATTTGAGTGGTTTCAGTACCTATATCGAGCCGAAAAATGACCCGGCAGTTTTGTTTTTCAGCGGGAGGAGGGGGGAGAGTCTGTACCTCTTTATAGTGGTACAAATAATGAGCTATGCCCCAACAAAACAGCATTCCCTGCACCCTTCATGGAAAGGTGTTTTAAAATTTTCTTTTGAGCACCCCGTCATTTTTACATGTATGCTAGTTTCCTAAGAATACAGTTTGACTGGGCAAAGAGGATCCAGAGTCTTTCTTGGATGAGAATCCAAACTATAAAATTGGGTGATCTGTGGTGGTGGAAAATTCAGTGTTTCTAATCTTCTCTGAGATCTTTTTAAAAATGGCATGCCCGTACTGGTACAGAAACTGAAGCAGACGTTAACACAAATGGTATATAAAAACAGTAGAATACAGTGCAAACTTTACTCTAACACTTAACAAACTTAATCACACTTAAGCAGCAACGTTTTTGAGTGACGCACGTCACCGGAAGTGAAAGCGGCACTCTTCAGCCGTGATCGTCTCTAAAAGAGTAAAAACACTTAGCAATACAAATTTGGTAGCGTCAAGACATGTTAAAAGAGAAAAAGGCTCACTTCTGGTTGACTTGCGTCGCTCAGAAACGGCGCTGCTCAAACTCCCCTAATACCCCTGGTCGCAGAATTGGTCCCAGAGGTTTTTCTTGATAGAGAGTGCAAGCCGCAAAGCGGCGACAACGAGTCGCGAAAGCGACGAGGAGAGAGAGAAAAACCGTTTTTCTCCCTCCCCTCGTCGCTTTCGCGAAGAAAAATTAGGAAAAACCAGGGTAAGTACCACCATGCTAGTGAACTTTAAAATCAGTTTCCTTCATTCGGTTCTTAACTGCCCCCTATCCCCCTATCATCACTTAAACGGTTTGGTGTTTGATCTTTGGAATATTTGCACGTGGAAAATCGCGCCATATAGGTGGTCTTTAATTGCTGCAGCTTTTTTTTTTTCTCTTTGCAGATGACACCCATCCGCCCATCCACCCGTACGCTTTCATACCATTTTCTGCTGGCCCTCGCTCCTGTATCGGGAACAAGTTTGCTTTGGCAGAGATGAAAGTCGTTTTAATCAGCCTTCTGCGGCAGTTTGCATTTGAAGAGGTTCCTGGTTTCACTGTGACACCCTTGGTTCGACTTACAGCAAGGCCAGATCCCCCAATGCGGTTACGAATACGTAAACTGAATCATTGAAGAATTATTAAGTGCTATATTTGCAATCTCAATTTATTTTATGGCTGAATTCGCGCGCGGGCAATATGAAGCGAATCCTTTGTTTTGATTGGCAGCTACCTGAGCGGACAAGAAGGACCTCACCTTTACCGCCCGGAATTTTCTGCGTTGGTCCCGCAAGAAAAAGTGTCTTTTGGCTATTTATTAAATCCTTTATTGGCCAAGCTTGTTCGGTCAAGGATTGCTGGATATTGGCCTCGTTATTTTTTTGCGTTTTTATTGACCTTGACTTGCGTCTCGGTCCATAAAAACACATAAAAGAACCTGGCCAATCTTGACATGACACTCCTGGTCAATAAGGCATATAATGTTATACTGTAGCCTGCGAGCAAGCTCTCCGGGGCGCTCTCCTTTCTGTTCCCTCCCTGCCGTCAGAGCGCCCCGGAGAGCTTGCTCGCAGGCTACAGTGTAACATATTTGCCTTATTGACCAGGCGTGTCAGGTCAAGATTATACTGTCAAGCCTGCATTAGACGGTCGGCCTCTATAAATCAGTCCCCAATCAAAATTCCGTCGGCCTATTCAAGGCATTGTGCTTACTCCTTACGCATTCAGCTGGCCATTACCAGGAGGAAAACGCTTACAACAAGTTTTAATGTATAATTACTAAAATGGTTGCTTGTGGGATTCCGTTAAAAATAAAGTATACTGTTTGTATCAAGTGTGGTTTTTAGAGAGGCCATTGCGAGTTCGAATCTTACCGAGAGTGTAAACTTTGTTACGCGATGCAATGATACGTTGCGATGCCCGATGCAGCAACACGTCTCCTCGTGTGATATAATCCCCATCCCAAAATGGCTGGGGAACAGAAAAAAACGGAAGTTACATGTAAAGGAGGCAAAATAGCCCTTGAACAAACATAAGGCTAGTCTCCCTCGCAGCTGTTTTTTGGGGGAGCGTTGCGTGACATCAAAAAACGGCTGCGAGGGTGACTACCATAAGGCGGACGAACAAAATATACCAACAGGAAAATTCAATTCTACTTCGGCGGAACAAATTACGTAGTAAAAAAATTTGTTGCTCAGAAATGCTGAGCAGCGTGCTGCAGACTGTGTATAACTGTAAAAAATCTATAATAAGAGAAAACAGTTCGCCGCTGCACAGTATGTCATTATACTATGACCAATCTTTTTAATAACATGTCACGCCAAAGTCACAAGCATTAAATTTGCTTATTTATTCCTTCTTTCTTTCAAAAGTAGGTTGAGTTTGATCGTCCGGGTGTACGTAGTCCTGAATAGGACTGTTGTTGTTGACAGTGACTGACGTTTCGACAACGTGTGCGGTAGTCATCTCCAGAGTCAAAGTGAGTTGTGTCAGCGTCAGTTGATGGTATTAGACTCTGGTTAATGACCTGATTGGTCAATTTCTGGGGTGCCAAATTAGACTACGAGTAGTCTCCCATTTTCCTCAGGGATAGTAGAGCGAGCGAAACGCGAGCGCGCGTGAAAATCACCCCACGCGAGAAAAGGCGACATTTTTCTCTCTTCCCGCCGCGTGTCGCCTTTTCTCGCGTGGGGTGATTTTCACGCGCGCTCGCGTTTCGCTCGCTCTACTATCCCTGAGGAAAAATGGGGGACTACTCGTAGTCTAGTGCCAAATGTATTTTTATTATTTAGAGTGGTTATTTGTTTATAACCAAAACAAGGCTGGTTATTTACAAATAACCACATTACAGTTTTATTATTTCTAAATAACCAAAATATAAAATTGGTTATTTACAAATAACCAAAACTGAAATTTGGTTATTTAGAAAATAACCAAAAATCAAAAAGTGGTTATTTCTAAATAACCAAATGCGAGATTGGATATTTATTAAATAACCAAAATGCGAGATTGGTTATTTATTAAATAACCAAAATGCGAAATTGGTTATTTATTAAATAACCAAAATGCAAAATGCTAAATTGGTTATTTATTAAATAACCAAAATACAGGCAAAATGGAAAATTGGTTATTTATAAACAAACAGGACAATTGGTTACTTAGTAAATAAACAAACATGGACGATTAAAAATCCAAAATTGTGCAAAAGTGGTTATTTAATACAGAAATGGTTATTTACCTAATTTGGTCTTAGCAAGTGGCCACGTGGCCCATTTTCCCGCTCAGTTCCCACAACGAGTTGCAGACTTCTATTTCCAACATGGCTTCTTCCAAAAACATAGCGCGGTTAAATGCAGAAATAGCTCCGAGCTGCTTTGAAGTTAGCTACTGACCGATCCAAATCTGATACATGCCACTACAGACTGTTCACACTTCACATTCCCTATTTTTCCGTAAAATCGTCGAGATCGAGCACTTTGCGTTACGGCAGCCATCTTGTATGAGGGGGCGGGGGGCGGTTTGGGAGGAAGCGCGAAAAATAGTCCCTGAGTAGTTTTGATGCTCATCCAAGATGGCTGCCCGTAACGCAAAGCCTATTGCGACAGGACTCTCTAATCATCCTGATATTGTGGAATTCTGTAGGTACTTTTGATCATTGGTCAAGCCAATCTTTGCCCAAAGAGATCTCAGGAGCAGGAAAGTAGCAGTTTCCTGCGTATTAATTTACTGAAAATGTCTCGAGGAAAACGCTGGAATAGGATTTCCGAGAACCTAAATTTGAAAATTTTCTGGGGAAGCATGCCCCCAGATTCCACTAGGCTGGGTCGCCTTCGGCGCTACAGTTTTCCCCCCCACTTGCGTGCGAAAGGTTTATTAGAAGATACATTATTATGGGAGTTCTAAAGTGGAACGGATTATGATAGAAATTATGATAGCTCGAAAGAACAGACGGGAGCCAACTTTAATTCTCCAGTCAGCAAATGATGTGAACAATAAAATTGTAAAAGAAATCGAAAAGAGAGACACTTTATTTGGTATTTCATTCTGTTTTTAGCAAGTACAGAATTGAATCCAGAGATCAAACGATTTTCACCGGATCAGGGATCAGGATTTGCAACAATTTTGGATCAGGTATCAAAATTTTATGGCCAAAATTTGAGATCCGTCGGGAAAATATATACCTCGTTAAGACCCTGTTGTATGACAAAACAATGTAAAATACGATACGTTTCACGGAAATGCAAAATTATTTTTGAATATGTGTAATGTCTGAAGCAGTCTGAAGATTAAAGGACAAGGGAACAAATTAGTCAGAAATGAATAATGTGACGGTACGACAATTCGTTGGATAATCTCTGGACTATACATGAAAACCAACTGAAGTAGATGACGGTAAATGAAGACTAATGGTGGTAGATGTAGGCGTATGAAGGTAAAAGAAGGCTAATATATGTAGGTGACCATGGATAAAGGCTACTGGGAGTAGAATTATGAATTAGAATGAAGGTGAATTTAAATAAATGAAGGTGAATGAAGATTATGAAAGCGAATGAAGGTGTACGGAGGAAAATGAAAGTAAATGAAGAAAAATGAGGGTGGAAGAAGTTAAATGAAAGAGAAAAGACGAAAGTGAAGAAAGTGGAAGAAGCTATGTTGGAAATAGAAGTCTGCAAGTCGTTATGGGAAATGAGCGGGAAAATGGGCCACGTGGCCACTTGCTAAGACCAAATTAGGTAAATAACCATTTTTGCACATTTTTGGATTTTTAATCGTCCATGTTTGTTTATTTACTAAATAACCAACTGTCCAGTTTGTTTATCAATAACCAATTTTCCATTTTTCTTGCATTTTGGTTATTTAATAAATAACCAATTTAGCATTTTGGTTATTTGATAAATAACCAATCTCGCATTTTGGTTATTTGATAAATAATCAATCTCGCATTTTGGTTAATAATAAGTAACCAATCTTGCATTTGGTTATTTAGAAATAACCACTTTTTAACTTTTGGTTATTTGCTAAATAACCAAATTTCAGTTTTGGTTATTTGTAAATAACCAATTTTATATTTTGGTTATTTAGAAATAATAAAACTGTAATGTGGTTATTTGTAAATAACCAGAATTGTTTTGGTTATATACAAATAACCCCGCTAAATAATAAAAATACATTTGGCGCCCCATAACTGAACTTTTCATGTACTTAATTCAATGTATTAGGTTCGGCTCATGAAAAGTGCGGCGTCTGGAGTGGGCTCAAGTCGTTTGTACCGTGCCAGTAACTGTATGTTGACTACGATTCAGTGGCGTTTTTTTTAAGTTAGTTAACCAGCTTTCTAAAGTGAGTCGTTGATAGTAGTCTGTAGAATACGTAATACAGGTCACAGAGTCCCAGTTGATTTGATGTTTCGTCTGTAAATGGTGTTCAGCAATGTGATTGTTAACGTCACCATTTCTCTTCGCTCCTTTGTATTCGGTTTGTCGCGTGCTAAGGTTTCTGCTGGTTTCACCAATGTAAGTAGCCTGGCAGTCGCAGCATTTGATCTTGTATACTGCTCCCTGTCTGTCCTCCGGTTTGTCTTTGTCCTTGACATCAGTAAGTTGTAAGTAGTCGTCGTAAAGTGGTTATCGGTTTGTGTGCAACACGTATATTGTACGGTTGTAGTATACGTGCGATAGTTTCATAGGTGCCTCTGATGTTCGGTATAGTCGCTGTCGTAAAAGGGCCAGAGTTGACGTTGGGCTTATAGCCTTGGAATCAGTGTTGCTAACAAAGTCCGTGTTGTAGTTGCTTTTACTAAACACGTTGTTTAGGTAGTCAGTCTTGTCTCGTAGGCTGTCAGGTGAGTCGCAAATTAGTTTCGTTTGCTTTTTTCTGGGACTAACCTCGCGTACATGCGTTCTGGTGTCAGATGCAGAGACAAATTCAGTTTACTGCAAACAGCAAACGTCATACCCAAGTTGACAATTTTTCCTACTAGGAAATCAGGAGATAAAACCTGTGCAAAATAACTCTTGGGCATGATTTTTGTGCAGATATAAAGAACAAAAAACCACAAGTGAAAACAATCCTGGTCACGTGATGCAAATTGCCGTAACAGTAATCGCAAATCTCTCTATTGACTCATAATTTGACCACTGCAGGGTTAGGTGACTTCCGAGTTGCCCTAAAGTCCAGTAAGTCTCTATTTCAAAGCGAGGCGAAGCCATTGCCGTTTAAATGATTTTGTTATTTCCATGGAAATAAAACTCATTTTCACAAGAAAGGTTTTGCACTTAGCCTCGTTTTGAAATTTTTTTTCGTGGGAGCTGGATTTTTAGAAAATGGATTGACAGCTCAATATCTCAGATAAGTACAGTTTTTGTAGTTGTAAAAAAGTATACTTTACACGTGCAATCCGTCAGTGCTTTCTTTCTTCAGTGTTTTCTAGTTACGTATCAGTTGTGTAGCTGTGGGATTGGTGGCACGTGACTGGTTTAATTTCCTCGGGTCCTCCGCCAAAAGCACTCCCGCATTTTGTTCTCGCCAGCTACCCAGGTTTCGAAAGAAGAAACCTTAACTGGTCTCTTCATTTCGCCGCTTTGCGGAACAATTCCGTCCTAGTTTGCCAAATTCCCCGCTGTCCGAACACCCAAAATAGTTAAATGCCCTGGGTATGCCCCGGGGGGAGGTTGAAGTTTCGAACTGATCGGCGAAATCGCAAGTCATCGAGAGACACAAGATACATTTTCTTCTCTTCCTTGCGTAACTCATGAACAATCGGAGTGCAGGAGAGCTTTTCAGCGGTGTGCGCGGCTGAAGCGCGGCTGAAGCGTGGCTGAAGCGCGGCTGAAGCGTGGCTGAAGCGCGGCTGAAGCGCGGCTGAAGCGCGGAGTGGAATGAAACAGTTCAACCTCGTGTCCAGGACTTTTCCCTTAAAGAATGGGAGGCAAAAGCCCCTGGGACGAGGCTGGAAGCAGTCGCCTGTAATAAATTGTGTGTTTTCACATGACGTCATGGCGGCCATATACATTCCATTCTTCTGAATATTTTGCAACAGGATTTTGGAGTCGTCGGAACTGCTTTAAATTGGTTCGACTCATTTCTTTCTGGTCTCAAACAACATATACTTGTCGCTGATAAGACGTCTGACGACTTCAATCTGAACTGTGGAGTCACCCAGGGCGGTTGTATGGGGCCTATTTTATTTACTCTCTACGTCTCCCGCCTCTTTAACATTACTTCTCAGCACCTCCCTTCCGTCCATGGTTATGCTGATGACACCCAGATTTACCTCTCCTTCTGACCTTGTTCTATCCATTCGGAAATTAACGCTGTCTCTGTGACTGAAAAGTGCATCGCTGATGTTTGCTCTTGGTTTATTAGAAATCGTTCAATGATCAATGACGCGAAAACTGACTTTCTAATTATTGGCACTCGTCAACAACTTGAAAAAACATCTATTAAATCTATTATCATTGGTGACACCGTCATCTAGAAAGCGTCCGGAACCTTGAGTCCTGGTTCGACGCTCATATGCCAATGAATGTTCACATAGGCAAGATTTGTAGCAAGGCTTTTTGCGGACTATACAACATAAGACAGATCAGAAAATTCCTTACCGTGCAATCCAAAAAGACATTGATCCATGCCTTTGTATCTTCGCACCTTGATTACTGTAACGCACTTCTATTCAGGGTCTACCTAAATATCAAATTGATCGTTTACAGAAAGTTCAGAATGCCGCGGCTAGAGTGACTTTTCGGATTGCGAAATTTGATCATATCACACCCGCTCTTATCGACTTACATTGGCTTCCAGTAACGTTTAGAGTTCAGTTTAAATTACTCCTTTTTGTTTACAAGTCACTACACAACCAAAGTCCATCCTAAATTGAAGATCTTTTATCCCTGAAACCAGCTGCTAATTGTGCTCTTTGTTCGTGTGCTCAATCTCTTCTGTTCGTTCCAAAAGTCAACTGCTCTACACTTGGGGATCGGGCCTTTGCTCATGCTGCACCTGTTTCATGGAACTCGCTGCCATTGACTATAAGAACAAGTAGCAGCCTCGCCATCTTTAAAAAGCAACTTAAAACATTTCTTTTTAAGAAAGCTTTTAATTTGTTGGAATAGTTCTAATGTTTAATTTTAATTTAGTTTGGAATTTTCGAATTTCATTTTTTTAGATTTTACCATAGCATAACATATTATTGTTATTATTATAGCTTTAAGGGATTTTTAAATTTTTTATTTATTATTTATTCATTAATTTTAACTTAATGTAAAGCGCTTTTGAATATTCTTCTATAGTTTTAGCACTATACAAATTCATTATCATTATCATTTGCATAGATGCTGGCCACGTGAGTGAAAACACAGAATAGGCCATTTCCGAGTTCCCCCGGGCCTCTGCATCAAAACGAGGTTAAGTGCTCAGCCTTTGATGTGGAAATGATTTTTCATTCTGATGCAAATAAAACTCATTTGTACACAGAAGCCAAGTTGTCATAACTTGTTGCTACTTCGACATGATCTTCACCGTAAATCTTTTTCCTAATCATTACTGAGTGCTTTTCGAAAAATTCTTTCGCCTGGTTGTATTCTCCCAGGCTGTAGTACGCTGATGCTAAGTCGTTATAACTTCTTGCTACATGGGCATTATGTTCACCGAAAACTCAGTTTTTCCAAATTATCAGTGCTTTTCTTGGTTTTCACATGACGTCACTAAAATTCAAACTAAGAAAACGATCTCTTTTTCTGAGTTTCTACTTTCATGTGGTATTACAGCACCTTAAAACCTTTATACAAACAAATTTCCGGTTCAAAAGGGTTCTTCGTTTTTGCGATACAGGACGCTTGAATTTCCAGGCTTTTGCGTTACGCGGCATTTAGCTGACTGTCAGGAAAGCTGGGTTAAAACCATTACCGATTTTGGGAGATTTTGCTATCTAAATATTCCTTGTCTCAGAATAAATATTTCCTTAATCTTCATGAGTTCCTCAAGCGAAGAATTCACGCATTACTAGGAGAACTCAAAAACAGATGTTTCTGAAAGGGACACAAACATGGCGTCTCCATACAAAGCTTAGTTTATAAATCTGGGTAAAACGTTTTTCTGAATATCTCGCACATGAAATGTTGCACAGACCTGATTCTTGGCAAGGCTTTTTGTATATTCATCTTCTTTAATTTCCCAGATTCTAGACTTTCTGTGTTAAAAGGCTTCCATTTTTATTTTTAATGGCGTGACAGTGTACACTGATGTCAAGTTGTTGATAACTTGATACCATATCAGTCGGCATGATCCTCACCAAAAATCTTCTTTCTAATCATTAGTGCTTTTTCCTTAAGTTCTTTGGCTTGATTGTATTCTCCTAGGTTGCGGTACACTGTTGCCAGGTTGAAATAACTTGACGCTGTATGGGTATTATCTTCACCGAAAATCTTTTTGTTAATCATCAGCGCTTTTTCATGAAGTTCTTTGGCTTTATTGTATTCTTTCATATTGCAGTACAGTGTTGCCAAGTTGTTATAACTTGATGCTATATTGGCATGATTTTCACCGAAAATCTTTTTGGTAATCACCAGTGCTTTTTTGTAAAGTTCTTTGGCTTGATTGTATTCTCCCAGGCTGCCATACACTAATGCCAAGTTGTTGTAACTTGCTGCTATATTGTCATGATTTTCACCGAAAATCTTTTTGGTAATCACCAGTGCTTTTTCGTAAAGTTCTTTGGCTTGATTGTATTCTCCCAGGCTGCCATACACTAATGCCAAGTTGTTATAACTTGATGCTATATCGGCATGATCTTCATCGAAAATTTTCTTTCTAATCATTAGTGCTTTTTCGTAAAGTTCTTTGGCTTTGTTGTATTCTTGCAAGTCGAAGTACACTGTTGCCAAGTTGTTATAACTTGATGCTATATCGACATGATCTTCATCGAAAATTTTCTTTCTAATCGTTAGTGCTTTTTCGCAAAGTTCTTTGGCTTGATTGTATTTTCCCAGGCTGTGGTACACTAATGCCAAGTTGTTATAACCAGTTGCTACATCGACATGATCTTCACCGTTAATCTTCTTCCAAATCACCAGTGCTTTTTCGTGAAGTTCTTTGGCTTGATTGTATTTTCCCAGGCTGCTGTACACTGATGCCAAGTTGTTATAACTTGATGCTATATCGGTATGATCTTCATCGAAGATCTTTTTCCGAATCATTAGCGCCTTTTTGTGAAATCCTTCCGCTTGACTATATTTTCCAATCCTTTCGTACACTTGGCCACTGGTACTTAAAATATCCCCTTTTAAAAAGGCACCTGGGTCAGTATCTTCTATGTCCTCTAGCAAGTCGCATCCTAAATCGACCACAGTTTTAGCAAACAACAAATCACAAAAATGGCAACAGATTGAAGCAAGAGACCTCAACCAATCGGCAACCATATTCAAATCTACAAAAGGCGTCGACTTTCTCAAAAAAGTTCTCAGCTGATCAGAACTGCGATTTCGTGTCATGTGCTTAAGTAAACATTCACAGTGGGGCCTCAAGGTCTTAAAAATCGCATAATCCTCATTATTTTCTTCAAACAGGGATTTGAAAATCTTTCCTGCTTCGGCCAAGCCGCAATTAATCTGCTCTAATGTTAGCTTGAGGACTTCGCCTCGAATCAAAGCTTCATAAACAATTTTATGCAAGCGAATACATCTACGTTCATCTCCTTTCTCGGAATGAACAAGAAGTAAAGACGACCTAACAATCTTTGCCTTGATCAACTCCTCCGGCTGGTCTTTTGTTTGCGCTTTGACGAACTTTGAAACAGCTTCGAGTGGGAGATCGTCGTGAGCGCACAGCGAAAGAAAGGAGAATGTGTGACGAAGAACTTTATCACTGTCTACAGTTCTTTCGATGGCCATTTCTACGGCAGCCATTGTTGTTGTAGCGTAGGCTAAACTCACATTCGCAAGGACAGTTTCAACCTCTCTTCGTTGACTGTATGTTGATATGTCGCGGAGGTATGCCTTCCATTCATAATTTGAAGACCCACTGCTAATAACTGTTTGCACGTAGAAAGCAGCAGCAGCTAAGGCCAGGGGCTGAAAATCGAGAAAATCGGCGACATTTTCTGCTTGCTCTCGGTCTGAAATTTGTGAAACTTTTTCCAATAATTCTACTGCTTCGTCCAGCCTCATTCCTTTACTTAATGATTCATGATATGTATGAGGAGCGTTATGAGGAATTGTAGTGCTATCTTGAGTAGTAATCAGCACTTGACCATTTCCCCATTCTTTACTACCGGTTTGAGGTAGTAAGGCGTTAACTGAACGCAACTCGACCACATTATCTGCTATAATCATCCATTTGGTAAACTTAGTAACCTTGGGCAAAATCAAACGATGGAGTTGTTGAACTGCTTCAATAGGCTTCTCTATTTTTAAAGATTCTAACCCTGACAAGGCGTATTCTGTTATCCTTAGGTGTCTTCCAAGAGTCATGTAAGAAGCAGCAAGTGTTTCGATGCTTTCTGCGTTCAGCGTCGCAACAAAAATCAGATTTTCAACGTCACCCGTTCGTTCAGAAAAAAACTGTTGTCCGATTTCCCGTGCAATTTGACTCTTACCACATCCTGGATTTCCTGACAAATACACAGTACTAACTCCTCCATTGGCACCACTGGAAAGTTCTTTCATTTTCTTTGTAATTCTTCCAATGTCATGAGAACGCCTGATGATATCGTGTGGTGGTGTCGACGCGAGAAAGCAAAAAGGTTGAAGTTTCGCACTCATTTCTTGCGTGAGAGCCTTGTTTTCTTGTTTTGCAGAAACCAGATCAGCTTCTGTACTCTGAAGTGCACTTTTTGTTTCCTCCAGGTCACATTTTGTCTGATCTAACTCATCTTGGAGATCACGAACTTGTCTCTTAAAAGTTTCCACTTCTTTCGTTGGAAAGGTCTTCTGATTCTTTATTTCTTGGATCTCAGTTATTGCAAGACCAAGAGATGTAAAAGCGTTTAACAGTCTAACTACAGAAGTTTGGAGGTCGGCATCTGTCAGCTTAGCTTCCGTGATATGTGCGATCTCGTTTCGCACCTGACGAATATCATCGACCTCTTTCCAGACAGCTGGACTTAAGGTGGTACCAACGCTGTCTGAGTACAGGATGGCAAAAAACAAACAGGAAGAGTCCCACTCTGCCGTGTTTCCACCCTGTATTGTCGTTAGGTACCGGGCGTTTTTCTTGCGGCTTTTCTTATATTCTTTATTATAAAAATCACGACCATTCTGTGCTGTATCTTTCCATTCTCCAAATGAAGTTGCCTTATAAAGAAAATCCCATTCTTTTTTAAAGATTTGCCGCAGTCCTGCTGGAACCAAATCGAATCCTACGTAGCAGAGTCTGAAGTAGTTCAGTTGCTCCTGCGAGTATTCCATGACCAATTTCTGATCCTGTAAGAGATACCGCATTTAAGCTTCCTTTCATATGAAAGTTTGTGGAAAAAAGCTTGTTTACTTATGCTGAAATCTTGAGAGTTATCGCTGATTAGCATACAAAAACCACAGAGAGTTAAAAGATTTATTAAAGTAGAACTGAGGGGGATACTTTAGGAATTTTTGAGTGGGGGTGTGCCGCTGGGACCTTGGCACCCCTAGCCTATACCAAAGCTACAATCATTTGTCAAAAGTGTTGGGAAGTGAAGTGTTGGCCCCTGGCCCAATGCTGAGCAAAACGTTAATGTTTGTGCGCGTACTTGTTCTTTTATATCCCGACATTGAATAGGGGGGGACGGGGGGATATTTAGCAAAAGAGAAAACTGTCTTTTTGGAGGATTAAAATGGAGTACTGTTAGGTTGTACAACCTTTCCAACTACTTTTGTCTGTGATTGTAGTTCAGCTGAAATTTGCTACCCTATTCTAGACTAAACTCCCTAAATCCACCCCCCACCCAATTCTAGAGTAGCTTTTAGGCTGAGTTGCGTAAATTTAAACATGCCGATTTGATTTTTTTTATATTTTTGAGTGGAAATTCCGGGTTTCACTAAAATCTTCAACCAATTGATCAGTTTCTTGGAAAATGATACCCTATTCTAGACTTAAACTCTTTGATTTATACACCCTATCCGAGAGCTAACAGCTTGAAAAC